CCTTAATATTACTAAATATTTTAATGTAGATTTCTTTATTTCAATCACAATTAATTTCTCATTTTTATTGCATTTAGAGACTTCATTATTAATTTGCTATTATAACTGATCTCATCAGCAAAATAAAATTAATGTATATTGGAGTAATATCAATTACATATTGCTGATTAGATCAGCTACATTCTAGATTAAAAAAACAAGAATGGATTTTGTCATTTTTTTTTCTTATTGGTTTAATTGTAACAAGGTTTGGTTTAATTTCTAATCGACCTTGTATATTATATTTTTATTATTTAAATTCCTAAGAATGTGCGATTAATAGTGTATTTAGATATAAATTTTTGTTTTTTGAACCATTCAGAATAATTGGAAAATATTATAGAGTTGTCATACCAGCTTTTCATATTCCATTAATTTCAATCTAAATAAATTATTTAAAAAAATAAAAATATATATAAATTTTTTTAAACTTTACTAAGTTTCTTATATAAAGTAATAAATAAATAACCAAACGTAATATTATTTATTAATGGATGAAATGAGTACAAGAATAGATTATGAATAAATATATACTCTGAGTTTTGAGTTTCTAATTTAAAAATAAATAAATAATAAAATGTAGAATGTTAAACAATGAGGAATTAATAATATATCAAATATTTGAATCAATATAATTTAAGGATGAACTTTTAACAGGTATATGAATGATTTATAACAGTAATCTATGATTATGGCTATTCATTAATCCAGGAAAGAGTATTAGTTATTAAAATTTAAAGTCGAGTTGGTTTAATATTGGGTTAAAGGTTTACCATTAGTATACGTTATTGATTTATCTAACAAGTAGAAGTATTTTATATTTTATTTTAGATAAACTAAGGTTTTGATGTTGGCTAGAACTTAGGAATTGGCAGCATATAATATGAATATAATTATTGCTTTAAGTAGTTATTTGAAGGTCTCAAGTACAATATTTGTTTAAATAACAATAGATTATTCATTTTCTGTAATAAATTCTATAAGTGGTGATATTAGTATACTATAGAATGGAGTTTAAATAATTTCAGGTATATATGAAAGAGAGCTTAATCTAATTTTGAGAAAGGAATTAATTGTTAATCATTTAAAAATATGAAGCATTATTGATTGATAAATCAATATCATAAGCTTAAATCATAAGTTTAAGATCTGAAATAAATGACATTAGAAGGCATAAAGTAATTCTTTATTCAAATTGATGAAGAAGAATGGAAATTTGAAACTTTATGCGATATTTATAACGCATTTAATGTTACTTAATCAGTTATATTCTGTTCCACAAAATACAAGTGTTATAAATATATGATAGAAAATCGATTTTCTGTAATTTAGATGCATTAAAATATCAGCAAATAAGAAAGAGGTAAAATTATGGCTGACTTTAGATTTGGAAATTATAGAGTCTTAATTACTAGTGATATTTTTGGGAGTAGTATTTTTTTATTATCATTATAAGGTTTTGATATTGAATTAATTTCTTTGATTATCAATTATTATATCACAAAATTAAAGGATTATATATTCACAGAATTTGGAAGAACTAACAAATTTGGAAGAAAGAGCATTGCCATTTTTTTTTATTTTAAGAAGATTAAAAAATTTATATGAAATTGAAGAATATTTTTAAACAAAAATTGATGAGATGCCAATAAACTTTAAAATTTATTTATGCAATCATAGAATTAATAAATTTGTTTAATTAGATAAACATTTAATTCAGTATTAATTTTATTTTTGTATCTTAGGATTTATATTTCTGAATCAATTTTAATATCAAAATACATATTAGAAGATACGTAATGTCTAATTTTTAAATTATCCATATGTTTATAATAATTTAATATTCTATTTATTATTATAATTAATCATTCTTGTTTTATAATTATCTTCTTATTAGAAAATATAAAATTAAAATTAAACCTAATATAAATAGATAAATTATTATATTATTGCTATTTTTAATTTGATCATTATCAATCTCAAACAATATACTTATTACATTATAAATATATCCAACTCTTCTTATATTGATATTTATGATATAAAATCAATGATTAATGAATTGTAAGTTGTTTTATGGGATTAATGTAAATTTTTCATTTCCTTAATATTCTTAATTAAAATATAAATCATAACCTATTTCTGCAATTAAAATCATATCTTCCTAATCTGAGTAGATAATTTAATTTGGATAAAATATATTTTACTTTATTCTTATTTAGTATGATGAAATTGAAATTAATGTATTATGGTTAACATAATCTGTATAATTAATGAATAATTAAAAGGTACAAAAATGAGATTTTAATATTAAAAAATTTATAAAAGACATGATAAATATTTTATTATGGTTAAAGCATTCTAATTTAAGTTAATCTGTTGTCAAATCATAAAAGTATGTTACATCAGAAGTTATTTTGAATATACTATTTTAAGTACATACTGAATTATTTCACACTATTTCTTGTAATTTTTATAAGTATGTAACATGTTTCCTAATTTTCAATTAGAATGATAATTTTACTTATAATTGAAAAATTCCAGAAACACTTAAAACAAAATAATATTAATTACCAACTCAATTTTTAATCTAACTTTTTATTAAATCACACCATCAAAATATTTTTATAACATAGCATCTACATCTTTCATTTAAAATATATATATTCTAAAAGTAACACTTAATTTTATAACTTTACCTTTGTTATGTTAAGTTTTCCAATATATCACTTAGATTTCTGACACAATTGTATTAATTTTACATATGGAAATTATGGAAGTTGATTGTTGAAACAAAGAAAGATGATCTAATCCACCTTAGAAATGCAAGATGGTAAGGTAGATTGACAAACATTAACGGAGATTCCATTTTGAATATCAACAAAAGAGGGGAATCTCCTTTGAGGTATATGATTATTTTCATGAATAATAACTTCCAAAAGCAATGTTTTGTTAAACCAAAAATTTTCATGACTGTGTTTTACAATTTTATAAGTTGTACTTTGTTAATCATATGATCAAGGTAATTTAGTTTTATGTTATTTAGTAAAAATTAGAAGTTGAATGTAGGTTTATTTTTTCATTTTTCAAAATATAGCTATTTCCTCATAAAATATAATTTAAATCAAAAGGACAAGTAGCTGATTCATTTGATTGTACTTCAATTAACCATAATCATGTAATAATATATGGATAAATGATAAATGAATATTTGCAAAAAATAATTTAAGAAGTAATCACCTGATAAAAAATAGAGTCAATTAGTTACCTTAAATATAAATACAATCAACAGAGATATATATTAATATGGCTAGACTCTATTCATTAAATTAATGTATCAAAATTACATAATATAATTTAATATATTCGGAAGTTATTTAAATGAGATTATAATCACTATTTAAATCCCTTAAAAGTATAGAATATGTTGGTCAAGTATAAATTTTATCTCATTGACTATTGAGAAAATGTTGCAATTAATATAAAACTATCAATAAATTACTCCAAGAATATCATAATCAAAATCTGATAAAGTAACTATTAACACGGAATATTAATCTAATATATATGTGTTATATATTATATGTAAAAGTAATCTTCGATTATTCTGATATAAAACTAAAATTCAATTTCTTAAAAGTATTATGGCAATCACATATGTTTTTAAATTATAAGATGTTGAATTTGATTTCCTTAAATAAATATATTTTAGTCGAAGTAATTGAAATTTTTTCATAATGATTCATATAGTCATCAATTTGTTATCTTAGTCTATTCGGAAAAATTGAGATATATATAAAATGTTTTTAACATCAGGAATAAATAAAAATGAGTGTAATAGATGATCTTATTTGAAGGTTTTTCATTTTGTTGTTTATAATTGTATTAAAAATTAATTATTATTTCTGGAATTTATAAATATTAATGACTCTAAAAATAATAAAAAACTACTTGATAAATATGTTGTAGTTTTCAACAAAATTTATTTATTTTTGGTAAGAAATAATTGTCTATTCATTATTCAAATGTTCTAAAAATCATAGTATGATTAAATGAGGATCAATACCATTAATAAGTTTACCATAATCTTAGAAATATTCGTCATTCTAATCTTTACTAGATAAAGGGAATTGTATAAAACATGAAAGTTGGCAATTTAAATCTTAATTTCAAATTTTTCTTATTTAGAAATCAATTTTTATTAAAAAAATTTGATTTTTTCATCAAATGATTCTATTTTTTATATGCCTTTATCAAACTATCTAAAAGATGTAAGTTGCATTAAATGGGTATAATTTGATTTATAGAAAAATAATAACAATAAAGGAAGATCAATTATAGTAAGAAAGTTGTGTTGCCTTCGGAATATGGTCTAAATATACTCCATTAAATATTTTAAGTATAAATGAAGAGATAGGATAATTTGAAAGCAATTGTTTTTAATTAATCAATATAGAGGATTAAACTATTAAGAGTTTAAATTTTATTTATTATGATTGCTTAATCTACCCTACAAAATAAATAGTTAAGACAATAATGTTAATAAGTTAACAAGATTAATTATTTCACTTTGATAATTATATAGATCCTTTTGAATATGAAAACATTTGGTACAATTTTTAATTTATTTCATGGCCATTTTAAAATAAATTGTAATTAATAATCATTCAATAAGATAAAACAATATTGAATAAGATTATAGAAAATGTATAGTTTTTCAATGAATAATAACTATTACTTACATAGGGAGGGAGCTTTTAAGTAATGGAATCAAAAATTGATTTGATATAACATGGAAAAAAATTTAATTTTTTTCCAGGATAAATTGTTTCATATGATCTTTTGATTGAGTTAATTCCTTCTTCTTTTGATTTTGAACAGTATATTGTTGAAGAATATTAAAATCTTGCTGAATGCGATTGTATTGGCAATGAATAAGTGAAAATTGAAGATTCGGATTTAATTTTTCTTGAAGATAGAATTTATGTTTCTAAAAATATTAATTGCGATTATTATTCTTTAAGTGGATGGATTAGGGTAGAACAAATTATTTAAAAATCTGATGATTTTACTTATCAATTTATGAAAATGAGTACAAATAAATTTGATGAAAACCTATCATTTTAATTATTTTATCATATTTCTCCCTTTTAGATAAAAATAATTATAAAAGCTTATAGTTTAGTTTTTCCGATTGTCACCAAAGATATTAAGGATAGTGCATTGGAAATAGATAGAGAATTCTTATTCTAAAGGAATACAATAAAATAATGGCATTATTTAGTGTTAGAATTATTTGACTAGATAATTAATATAGATATCACCTTTTAAGATGAAAATGGAATTTAATAGTATTAGGCATAAATTAATGTGAATTAATTTCATAATTGCTAATTCAAATTAAGATATGGTAATATTATGAAGGACTCTTAAAATTATTTAAATTTGGCAATAAAATAATTGTATTATACAAATTGTAAAGAAGATGATAGGATTCAAAAATGTCATTATAGTTGTTTAGATTGTGATGGTCCTAATGTCTCAAATTGTTTATCTTGCTCTATTGAATCATAAAGAATATATGTTCCTCAATTTAATCATTGCATCTGTCCATTACCTTTAGTAGATTATGATAATACATGTGTTAATTATGTAGATTAAAATCTATAGATAATAGATCAATAAAATATTTATTTAAAGTGTTAAATGGGTTATTTTGAATTAGAAGGAGAATGCTTAAGATGGTATATTATTAAATTAATATGTATAGTCCTTCTAGAATAAGAGATAATTTAATAACTTGTTTTGATTGTTTTGAAAAATAGGAATGGAGTTAAAATTCTATTTGCTAAAGTGATTATTATGCTCCTATTTCTTTTACACTTCCTTCTGTTTTAATTTCTTCATTTGCAGTTTATATTTATGATGGAGCTGATTTTATTTTATGCGATTTTTATCCTATTAGTTTTGATTCTTATTTTGTTTTGTAAGATGAATAGAGTTTGTATGAAATGTTCTTATTTAAATCTATAATATTCTAAAAATTCTGTTTCATAAATAAAGATTTAGATATAGAATAACGTTGTTATACCTGTCTTGTGGATTATTGTATTTTATGTAGAATCGCTATAGATTAATAACTTTGTGTAATATGTCAAAAAGGATTTATTGAAATTAATGGATTATGTATTGTGAAGAAAAAAGAATTTACTCTAGAATCATGTCAACTACCATATTTCGCATCATTCAGTAAAATTTGTAAGTTATGCACTATAAATAATTGTTTATATTGTTTTGAATATATAAAAGACACTTAGATTAGTACTCTGGATGAGAGGGATAATATGTTTGAATACTAAGAAGATTCTTTTAAAATTGGTTGTATGTAATGTTACGATGGTTTTATATTTGATTTTAATTTGGGATTATGTATATAGTAGACTCCAACAATATTCAACTGTTTAATTTCATATGTATAAAAATTTAAAGAAATATGTATTGCATCAACTTTGGAGAATTTTGAACAATCTCGAATAATAACCAAATGTGAGAATTATATTATAAATTGTATCAAATGTGCTATTGATTAATATCAATCTATTTTTTGTATAGAATGCAAAGATAAATTTATTTTATAAGATGGATAATGTTATATGAATGAAGAAATTGGATTAAATTATGAAATTCAATATTGGAGACCAAAAATTGAAGCATTTTTATTAATTTATAGAAAAAAAAAAGATTATAATAATTCATTACTTTTAAAACAATCTAGCAAATGTGGTTTATCATGCTAAAGTTGCAACACTTCTGATAAATAATATTTTTGTGATGAATGTAATTAGGACTATTTTGATGGTTCAGTAAGAATTTAATATGGATTTTATTGTTTCGAATGTCCTAGACTTTGTTAGGTTTGTAGAACACGTAGCTTTAAAAATATAAAAGTAAAAATAAATCAAAATATTTAGATTGTTAATCCATTATTTTAAATTAGATAAGAAAATGCCATTTATACTTAAGAATGTATCTTACCTAAATTTGATCCTTTTATATTTTATGATCCTTATCTTAAAACAACATAATATTGTTTTGATGGTAATTGTCAAAATGGTTTCTAATTAGAATATTGGTAAAATAATTGTTTTTTGGAAAGGTTTCCTTAAAATCTAACTTAATTCAATATAAATACAGAATATTGCAATTAACTTGGTATATAGACATTTGAATTTAGCATTAATTTTGAAATATATAGTGAATATTGCTATTATAATATACCTTTGTTGACAAGAGCAACTTTAAAAGAGGAAGTATTCACACTAAAAACTGTAAATTTAAAAATTACATCATTTAACTAATTCTCCTTTGTCGCTGTAAATACAATGGAGTTTTATCAATATGATTCTATTTCTATGATTAATACAGAATTTATTTTCTAGGAAAATTCAAGAAATAATATTATGTTGTTAAATGAATACAATCTTGTAGATTTAACATTAATAAACTTTACGATAAAAGATAGTGGTATAGTAAATATAACATCTTTATTTTATGCTTAATAATTTGGCACAATAAATATATAAAATCTTTCAATAATTAATACTACTATTAGAAATTCATCTCTAATATAATTATTAAAATTTGAAGGTTAAATGACTATAAAAATCTTGTATTTTTTTAATTGCACATTTATAGATTCTATATTATTTTTTTTGTCTAATAGCATAGGAAAGATTTAAATTGATAATTTGATATTAGATTCGTGTAAATTTTATAATGCTTCCCTTTATACTTTATTTATCAATTATATGCAAGAATCAACATTTCAAATGAAAAACTTTCTTATCAAAAGTAATAATTTTCTCAATTCATATTTTCTCTTTTGCTCATAAATAATAAAAATAGATTTAATTGATATAATTGTGAAATCTAATCATTTTTACAATTCGTTATTATTTGGATTTAGTTATAGCTTATCTGCTAATAATATAAAAATTACAGATAATCTATTTATGGAATCCTCATTTCTATAAACAATTTAAGTTACTAATGATAAATATACTCATGTAGATATGTATGAATTTTTATTGTAGGATAATATCATTCAAAATGCAAACATATTCAACATATTTTCTAATTCTTATTCAAATAATTTGAATATTAATATGTAAAAAGTTCATATTGAATAAAATATTAGATCAATTAAAACTAATGAAGTAAGTTCAATTTTTAGTATCAATTGCTTAAAGTTATATTTAAAAAATTGTTTTATTCGGAATAACCAATAAATATTAATGATTAATCTTTATGATATTTAAGAAATTGAATTGTCAAATTTATTTTTTTTAAATTCAGCAGTTTAACAAAAGGTCTTCCTTTCAAAGAATTGTTTTAAAAAATCCAATTTATAAAATTAATTAATCTTAATTAAGGGTTTTGATAGAATTTCAATAGGAAATTGTACAATTACAAATTAATCGAGTATTGATGAATCACTAATAGAAATACTTTCTAGTAAATCTAAATAACTAATGGGATAAATATTTATCAACAAAGTTAAATTTTATGGTAATCTCTTACAATAATTAAATTAAATCTAATCTTTTTCACTATTAACTATTGTTTCAGACAGAAATATTGAAATAGTAATAGAAGATATAGAATACAAGAATAATTTTATGCATGTATATTCTGAAAGTTCCTTAAAATAGTCAGCTACTTTATTATATATTTCTTCGGCTCTTGGTAATATATATGTTAATAATGTGAATTGCATACAAAATTCAATGACTAATTCATCTAATTCATTCATAATGATTAGGTCTAAAGTTTTGAAATTCAACAATATATAAATTAAAAAACATAATATTTTACCTTATAATATATGGAGAGACTATTATCCAATCTAAATAGAGAATGAGCATGATTAAGAAGAAATTAATCTTTTCATAATTTAAATATACCAAATTAAAACTATTGGAGGAGTAGCATTCATTGAAACGAGCTCATTTACAAGTTTAAATTGTTCTTTTTAAGAGATATTAGCATCAGCAAGTTCAGTTTTTGATATTGTCACATTAAATGATGGTATGATTATGATATAAAACCTCTCAGTAAATTCAACTAGATATAGTTTGGAATAAACAGAAAGTTCAGGATGTATAACCATAAATTCTTAGAATAGTTTACTAAATTTTTCAATTTCACTCGCATTATTCTCTAATGTCATTAATAAATTGTCTACATCTGTTTTCTCAATTTTCCCTTCATTACTTATAAATAGAATAATAATCTAAGATGTACAGATCTTTAATTGCATTTCATTAAAAAATTAAATAATTCAAATTTAATTCATTAACTAAATTGTTGCTTTGAATACAATATCTTTGATAAATATCAAGATAATTCAAAATTAATAAGAATGGGAAACTTATTTTTAAATGATTGGATTATTAACATTATCTGAAATTTTATAAATTACAAGTGATGATAATTCATTAATTTATTTAGAAAATTGTGATCTTTATATTAAGGATTTTACAATTGAAGGAATGCTTATTAGTCCTATATTAAATTTATTTAATTTACAAAGGTTAAATATCATTAATTTCAATGTTGAGAACATAAAAAATGTAAAAACATAAAACCTTATATAAATTATTCAAACTATTTAAACTAAATCTACAATTCATTTAAAGTAACTTAATATTTAAAAAGGGCATTTGTTTAATATAAATACTTATTTAATTGTGAAATCTAATATATTTTAATTTGATTATTACATAGTTGGATGTGTAATTATGAACAATTCCTTAAAATTTGAATAACCATAAGATTATTTCTTAAACAATATTATTTAACTCGAATAATCAAATTACTAACATAGTGCAATTATCCACATCATAAGTAAAACTAATTTAAGTAATATCTACTTAGAAATGATAGAAATAAAAAATAATACTTATTTAACAAGTTTATAGGGGATTATATATTTTGATATTGTCTTGTTTAAGCATTTAAGAATCTTCAAATTAAATTGTAATCACAATTTTATAAATGAATATGGTTGTTTAAATTTAGTAGGAAATAATTCGGTAAAATCTAAAATTTAAATAAAAAATTCAAATTTCATTAATAATAATGGAACTAAAGGAGTTGCAATCAAAGTAATCAATGTATCTCTAGATATAAAGAATTGCAAAATTACTTCTAATTTAGCAACTACATAGGGTGGAGGTTTATATTTATCATTAACCTAAAATATATTTCGAATTGAAAAAACATAAATTTTATATAATAAAGCATAAGAAGGAGGAGGAATATATTTTGATAAGGATTATAATTTGAATTCAAAGAACTTCCATAAATCATATTTATAGTTTAACTAAGCTACAATTTATGGAAATAATCTTGTTGAAAGCCCTACCCATTTAACACTTTTTATAAATTCAAAAAAAATTCCTGATGAATAATAAATTAAAGATAATATATCCACTAGTTTTCTCAAAATTAAACCATACAAAACAATTGAATAAGGAAAATCCATTTATACAAAGTAACTCATCATTCCCAGCAACCAAAAAATTAATAGCTATTAATTATTTATTCCAAAAGGATTTTACTATCAATCTTATATTAAAACTATGAGTCTATATTTTTAAAATAGCAAAGGAGAATTACTCTATAAATAACTTAATTCAACATGCAATGTATCTTCAAATATTATAAAATTAGATGGTTCAGAAGTTATAGCATAAAGAATAAATAATATTCTTTAATATTAATCTGATAATAATAATTTTGAATTAGGCACATTAGCTTTCAAACTTGATCCGTACGAATCAGAGTACGATTACTTAAAAATTTAAGTTCAATGCAGAACTTATTATTCAAAAAATGTATTCAACTACATTATGAATGCAAGAAGTCTTAAATGCTAATTAGGAGAATTTCATATTGATAATGGATGTTAAATTTGTGTTTGGAGTTAAGGTTTTTACAGTGTAACATATAATTCAATTAAATGCTCCATATATGATAAACTCAAATTCTAAAATATAACTTCTAACATGATTAATTTATTTGAGGGTTATTGGAGACCTAATTATCTATCAGATTATACTGAATCATGCTATAAAAGTCCAGGATTTTGTAAAGGAGGATGGGAAGTTGGAGATAATTCTTGTAGTTTAGGACGTAAAGGCGCACTATGTGAAATGTGCGATATATATGATGAGAGAGGAGAGGGAAGGTTTTTTAAAAATTAAGAAGATTTGAAATGTTCATCATGTTCAGAACATGATAACATCATTCTTCCATTTTTATTTGCATTATTTCAGTATTTAACATTTAAAACATTTAGGGCATTATTATCAATTATATTATCCTTGAAAAGTATAAATAGATCAAATTAATTATTTACTTCATTAAGGATATTTGAAAAATTTAGTAAAATAATATTTAAATTAAATCAAGGTAATAATTCTAATTTATTATTTAGATCATGAAGGAATTTTGGTTAAAATGCTACTAAATTATTTATGGATATTTTCTGTTATTTTTACTTTCAATATCAATTTTACATTCTCTGTTATATTTATTGAATAATCTAGCAATAGTTTTTATTTTATGGTGAATAATTTAGATTGTTATTTGTCAAATCTTTAAACAGAATTAATCTATATCAAGATTATTGTTATTTTAATAATGATGCTCCTTCAATTCAATCTTATATTAGCCTTTTCATTTTTATTTCATAGTATAACTAAAAATAAAATGGATAATAGTTTATTATCAAATACATTGCTTTGTTTGTATTTATTTAATTACGGAGGATTAATTAAAATGTACTAAATTATTCTTCAATTAGGTACTGTTCATTATTGTCTTCAAGATAAATATCAAACATTATTTACATTTAAGGAGATGTATCTTTATTATATGATACAAAAAATCATTAATAGTGGATTTATTTTATAATTATACCATTATTATTAGTTTTTGGCTGTATTATACCATTTTCTTTATTTTTGTTAACTTACATCAAAAGGGATATTCTTAATAAAATAAAATTAAGAAAACATATATGCTATTTATTTAATGAATATACTGATAGTAATTATTATTGGGAATAGATTAAATTGATATAAAAAGCTATGATAATTTTAATCACAACCTATTTTGAAAATAGCATACTTTTAAAGTCATCATTAATAGGACTTTGTTTACTCACTTATTAAGCAATCACTGTTAAAAATAAACCTTATATTATATCCAAATTTAATAATTTAGATTTGTCATCAGGATAAATATGTTCAATCACCATATTTCTTGCAGCAGTCAAATATGAGAGCTAAAATTAAAATAATACAACCATTTCTACATTTCTATAAATAGTTCTACTTATTTTAATGGTACGACTATGTTACCCTTTCATTTATAATATATTTACTGTTTATTATAAAAAATATAGCTATGCCATTTTTTTGAATATTCATTCATTATTATAACATTTAAAAATTAATACTTAATTTACCTAACGTTTTGGAAATTATCTATTAAGAAAGAATGAGAGATAAACCAAGCTAAAAATGAATTTTCTCAAGCTCAGAGAATATTTGCTTCCTAAACATAGAAATCAGAATAAAATGTTTAAGTTATATTTATTAAGTATTTTAGATTTGCTCATAAAAAAACTCATCTTAAATCGAATACAAATAGTGGAACATATTTAATAGAAGTAACAAACAAATGATATTTTAATATTATATTCAAATCATAATTATAAATCCATTTCGTAATTAAAAACAAAAATATATAATATCCTAAACTAGTATTAGTTGAAATTAGTTTTCCATTTTACTAATTCTTTTATTTAATATTCAAGATTACAACTTATTATTACTTAAATATATGTTATTAGTCACATAAAAAGTTCACATTCTTATACTTATGTAATTAAAAATGCAATTAAATAGACCAAATCGTACAAAGCAATCAGATAAAGTAAATTCACACAAGGTTTTATTGAACAAATCTTTGAATTTTCATCCAAAATACAATAATCTTTGTGTTATTAAATAGCATATTTTATAACAAAATAATAATAGTATTTAAATACAACAGATTTATTAAATAATACAATCTATGTTTAAATTTATAGAATATAATTTAAAATGTAATTATTTCCAAATTAATTAACCATTCAATTAATTATTTATATTTAAATCTGTTAATCATAATATAATAAATAAAAATAGGTAGGATTAATTTAATAATCTTATTTGGCCATAAATAAATGGTTATTTCCAATATTAATAATGATTCATAAATTAGAGTGAAATAATAATCATAATAATATTTATCCTTTTAAACGCCAATTAGACATTAATAAAAAGTCTAATTAAATGTCTCAAACTAAATCTGAAGATTAAGATTACGGCTAATGGTGATGAAAAAAGAATGTAAGATATTTAGTTGGAAGTAATTTTGAAGTTAGTTTAAGTATATAATGTTTGAAATAAATAATTTGTTGCTGATATAAGGGTATCAGTAATATTCTAAGCAAGTAAATTCTTTCCCAAGTAATGAATCATTTTTTATTATAGAACATATACTATGAAGAAGTAATAATATATTAAATACTATTGAAATAGTTATGAGGCTTTAGAGAAGTTTAAGTTATATATTCACAGAGGTCATATTAGATTATTGAACTGATTAATTCTTAATTACAACTTATTACAATTAGAGTAAAATACATCAGAATGTAATGATGGAAAATATTTGATAACTTGGGATATGTTCAAGATTTAAAAGAACATCAAGAAGCAAATAATTAACAAGTCTGAATAATGTTATAATTAGATAATGGATAATATTTATCATTTACGTATGATATAATTTGCTAGAATTATAATACAAATATATGTTTATTTTATATATAATGATTATTTTTTTTAATTTTCTTGAGATCTTACTAATCTATTAAATAATAACTAAGATGATTTTAAATATAATATTTCTATTAGTATTGAATTTATATATTATTATATATAGTTATATTTAAATTAATATAGAATATATGTTATTATGTATTTAAAGTGTAAAAAATTTAGTATAAAAGTATTAATGAAGGTTGAAAATAAATTATAATTTAAATAATATATCATTTTAAATGGACCCATAAGCATAAGTACCTACAAGAACAGTTGTTGAATTACCAACCTTCACTATAGTTGGTTTGGTGAGGAATATCATCTAAAAAGAAGAATAAGATCCAAAAACAGGATAAATTGGAAAGGCATATGAAGAATATTTTGATAAGTAGATCCATGATAAAATTCCACATCGTTTATACCCAAAAAGAACTTATTGTATGTATTATGAATACTAAAATGCTGAAAACCAAGAAGAAATCAGATATAAAATGGTCTTAGGAGAAATGGTAAGTCAAGTCACTGATTTACCAGAAGGACTAGTAGCTGTAAAAGTGCCTGCTCATCATTTCTGTCGTTTTGATTGTGGACCAGGTCCTATTCCAAAAGTTGTGATTGATGCTTGGTAATCATTACCAAATTTAACCCCTGAAGAATTTGGTGGAGTAAGATCACATGATTTTGACTTTGAAGTATATCCAGAAGACATAAATCTAAAGGAGAACATCAAATTTGAATTATTCATTGGTATATAAAAATGAAAATGTCTATTAGACATACAATATAAATTTTAATAAATGCTTCACAATACTTCTAAAAGTAATGATTACTATCCTTATTCAATCTTAATAGCTATTTTTAGTGTCTTAATAGTTTCTATACTAAAATAACTTAGGATGTGTAATCAAATGCATTAAAAAGATATTTAATTTACATTTTAAGAAAATCCGAACATTTTTAAATTATAATGAAGATTGATGTTAAATTAATATTTTTATAATAAATTGTTTCTGTTAAATTAATAATAGATTTTTTTATTAATGTAATTATTAAATTCTTAAGAAATGACCATGATCAATTAATAATTAGTCATTTTGAACTTCAATAGAATGAATTGATAGGTATTCATTATGAATTGATTTGAATTCTTATTTCATAAATTTAGAGTGGAGAAAAAAGAAATCTAAATTCTAAAATATTAAATGATGAAGCTTAGCTGAATTCATAGATCTATGAGTAGCAATTTAAAGAATTAAAAAAATCTTTTGTTTCTTAAAATATTCTAATATTTTTGATTGTTATATTATTTTTAATTTATTCGTATATCTCTATTAGATTCTCTTAACTAATAATTTAATCATAAATTGTAAAACATANTGTTGAATTACCAACCTTCACTATAGTTGGTTTGGTGAGGAATATCATCTAAAAAGAAGAATAAGATCCAAAAACAGGATAAATTGGAAAGGCATATGAAGAATATTTTGATAAGTAGATCCATGATAAAATTCCACATCGTTTATACCCAAAAAGAACTTATTGTATGTATTATGAATACTAAAATGCTGAAAACCAAGAAGAAATCAGATATAAAATGGTCTTAGGAGAAATGGTAAGTCAAGTCACTGATTTACCAGAAGGACTAGTAGCTGTAAAAGTGCCTGCTCATCATTTCTGTCGTTTTGATTGTGGACCAGGTCCTATTCCAAAAGTTGTGATTGATGCTTGGTAATCATTACCAAATTTAACCCCTGAAGAATTTGGTGGAGTAAGATCACATGATTTTGACTTTGAAGTATATCCAGAAGACATAAATCTAAAGGAGAACATCAAATTTGAATTATTCATTGGTATATAAAAATGAAAATGTCTATTAGACATACAATATAAATTTTAATAAATGCTTCACAATACTTCTAAAAGTAATGATTACTATCCTTATTCAATCTTAATAGCTATTTTTAGTGTCTTAATAGTTTCTATACTAAAATAACTTAGGATGTGTAATCAAATGCATTAAAAAGATATTTAATTTACATTTTAAGAAAATCCGAACATTTTTAAATTATAATGAAGATTGATGTTAAATTAATATTTTTATAATAAATTGTTTCTGTTAAATTAATAATAGATTTTTTTATTAATGTAATTATTAAATTCTTAAGAAATGACCATGATCAATTAATAATTAGTCATTTTGAACTTCAATAGAATGAATTGATAGGTATTCATTATGAATTGATTTGAATTCTTATTTCATAAATTTAGAGTGGAGAAAAAAGAAATCTAAATTCTAAAATATTAAATGATGAAGCTTAGCTGAATTCATAGATCTATGAGTAGCAATTTAAAGAATTAAAAAAATCTTTTGTTTCTTAAAATATTCTAATATTTTTGATTGTTATATTATTTTTAATTTATTCGTATATCTCTATTAGATTCTCTTAACTAATAATTTAATCATAAATTGTAAAACATACATTATTTCTTCAACTATTTTCTAAATTTAATATTGGGAAATCTTCAACAATTTTCTAAAATACAAAATAAAATTAAATGTATACTGTTAATCAACCCAAAAAAATTAAGAAAATTTTCAAGAAACAAATGGAAACAAGATTTTTTTACCAATAACACAACCAGAATTAAAATGATATTTCTCAATATATGATAATATAATTAAATGCATTTGATTGAAAATACATTCACAAATTCTAGTAAAAATTGTAATAGAATTATATATCAATACTATTATTTACAACAAATGATATTTCATTTTATTTGTCCATCTATATAACCCTTGATTATTATTAAGATCCTTATATATTTGATATATTCTATTTTAAATTGATCATACTAAAATAACTGATTATTGATATATATTTCTAATAGAATTTGCATTCCAAACTCTATTCAAAAATTAGAATCAATTGTTTCATAATTATTATTTTTTATATGTAAGTATTGATAGAAAATAAAAATTGGTCAATTGAAGAAAATGAAAATTTCTAATCAATTTTATGTTTATTAGATTTAACTATAGATTAATAGTAAATTTTACATAACCAAATCCAAAAATTTAAGAGTCCGGAGAAAATTATTAACTTTCTTTTGAATGCTGATCCAGATTGGGATTCATTATAAAAATGGATTGAAAAGGAGAATTCTAATCAAGTCCAAGAGAAATAATAATAATCAATTATTTAAGAAGAAAAATAATGGAATCAATAATAATTGATGATATTAAAAAATTAATTGTCCTCATAAATTAATAGTAATGAGGAACTAAATAAGATTCTCTAATATATATAATAAACAAATTTGAATAAGGAAATTGTAGCAAATGTCTTAAATTGTGAATTCGAAACATTTGAAGAATTTATTTAATTAACATAAATTTTTGAGGGAGAAAGTAAAATTGTAACTAGAAGGCCTCCATAATAGAACAATGATAAACAATAATCTAAGAATATACTTTATGATAATTAACAAATTAAATAACTATTTACTGAATTTCAATCCTTAAATGGGAGAAATAATTTACAAATCTAAAATTTACTCATATAATTATATAGTTCTTTTTAGTATTAATAATTTGATCCTACATTAATAGATTTCTAACCATCTCCAGATTTGGAATACGAAGATTTATTCATTTTATGTACTAAGGTTAAACAATATTTTTCATACTATCCTAGACCAGTTCAATTATTATCTGTTATAGAATTATATAATCATAATAATGATTAGGGACGTTTAGCATAGATATATACTGGAGAAGGTAAGACTTTAATAGTAGCAATGCTTGCAATACTTTTGTGTAAAAAGAAACAAATTAATGTTGACATTGTAACTAGTTCTCCTGTCTTGGCAATCAGAGATGTCTAAGAACTAACCCCATTTTATAAATTATTTTCTATATCAGTTGCCCATAATATAAATGGATCCTAGAATTAGTTAAAAAAGATGTTTCCATGTTATAATTCTCAAGTTATATATGGAGATCCGCATAGTTTCTAAGCTGACATCCTAAGACATGAATATTCAGAATTAGGAACTATGGGTGATAGAAAATAGGGATATGTTATAGTAGATGAAGTTGATTCAATGCTTATTGATGGACATAGTAATAAGACATTATTAAGTACACCCATTCCTGGAATGCTCGATTTAACAAAAGTTCTTAGATTAATTTGGGATGAAATTTGTAAATAATAGCCCAACATTTCAACTGATAAAAAAGTTATGGTTATAGATTAAAACAATTTTTATAGTGTAGATTTAGAAGAATACATTTAAAAAACATTAGATATTTAACTTCAAGATGCCTTATACAATTTCATACCTAAATTTAGATTAAACTATATTGACTTTATGAAGAAAACATGGATTGAAAATGCTATCTTAGCTATGTTTCATTACCATGAGAGAAAGCATTATCTTATTGATAATAATAATGTTAGAATTATTGATTACTAAAATACAGGAGTAGTACATTAGGATAATATGTAATGGTAGAAAGGACTTCATTAATTCATTTAATTAAAGCACAATCTTCCAATCACTCCTTTAAGAATTAGTACTAACTATTTGTCAAATGTTGGATTCTTTAAAAGATATCAGAATCAACTATTAGGCCTAACAGGAACTTTAGGATCACAAGTTACTTAGAATCTATTATCCAAATAGTACAAGCTCGACTTTGTTCTTATGCCACCCTTTAAGTAAAGACTGTTGAAAATAGAACCTGGAATAGCAACTCTTAGTAAAGATGAATGGTATTAAGAGATATTAAAATCCGTCTAACAACAAGTTAATAAAGGTAGAGCAGTGCTGATTATAAATCAGACTATTTAAGATGTTTAAAAAATAGAAGCTTATCTAAAAAAATACAAAATAAAATCTACCACCTATGTAGATGATCAGTAAGAATTGAAAAAAGTAATTGGACCTTAAACTGTTATAATTGCTACAAATTTAGCTGGAAGAGGAACAGATTTAACTACTAATGAAGAATTAGAAAGAAATGGAGGTCTCCATGTCATCATGTCTTTTCTACCTCGAAACATTAGAATCTAACTTTAAGGATTTGGTAGAACTGGAAGGCAAGGTAAATTAGGTACTGCAGAACTAATTGTTACTTTCCCAGATAATTTATATGTTGGTTAACTAACTTAAATTAAAACTATTTAAGATGCAATCAATTATTATCAAACAAAATAGAAATAATAAATGTAAAATTACTTTGAAGTTCTCGTATACTTTAGAGATTTAAATGAATAATATTATTCAGATGAAATAGAATTAGAAATGGAGAAACTATTAAATGAAGACAGATGTTTTAACAAGTTCTGTGAAATTGCTAAGAAAAAAGTAAATATGAAAGAAAATAGGGCAGCATTTTAATCTTTAGAGGAGAAATGGGGTCTTTATTTGGAATAATATCAAGATATAGGATTAAATGAGGAAGATATTGAAAATTGGTTGAATTCTGATGAAGGGTAAAATCCAAAATATTTAATTTCTCAAGGTCTTCAAAAGGACGATTTAAAAATTTTTTAAAAAGCAGCTGAAATAGCAAAAACTGATCCTTAGGTTTAATATTATAAAGGCTTAAGTGAAATATAAAGTGGGTAGTATAAGAATGGATGTGAATCTTTGTAAAAAGCTAAATCATTATTTCAAATTAAGATTGATGATGAAAAAGGATTTGCTACAGCTTCTAAATTAAATAGAATTCAAGTAGAATAGTTTTAAGATAATTAATCTTTGATTGAATTTTAAGAGTCAGTGATTATGGTTCCTAATGAAAACTTAGAATTACCTGACTTAGATTTAACAAGAGATTCGGAATCTCATAATATATCTGCTATACAATTTGTCAAATAAAATGATGTATAAAAAGACACTGTTGAAAGGAAGATTAACAATCATTTAAAAGTTTATAATAAAGTAATAAATAACATTGATACAATTCTTAACACTATGTCAACATTCAATCCTGAAGAAGAAGTGCTTGATTTAAGTTGGATGCCAGTAATTATGAAAGATGAAAAAGAAAATGTTGATTTAGAGCAATCTATTAAAGATTAATAAGAAGTGATTGATGATGGACCATTACCTAAACTAGGGAAAATTGCAAAAAAGAAAAAAGAAAAAAGTTGGTTATAATATGTGGCCATGTTTGCTATTGGATTATGTTAATTTGTTGTTGGATGTGCAATATGTGCATTTACTGGTGGAGCAGCCATGCCTATAGGAAGAGCCCTAATTACTGAAGGCATTTCAGATATGTTAACAGCAGTTATATCAGCATGGAAAGGAATAGATATTGACTGGGGAAATTGGGGATAATAAAAAATGATTAATATTGGATCTGCATTAGTTATGGCAGGTCCTGCAGGAATTAAGGAAGCACTTCATCTTGGTGGAAATGCTATGAAATCTTTAAAGAAAATTGGAATAGCTGAATTTTTGAAATAAATTCCTGAAATTACTGCTGAAGGATTAAAAAAGAATGGTTTTTGGTTAACTGATCTAGATAAAGAAGTTGTTCAAAACTAATATAACACTTTGAAATAAATATCAAGTACTGTATCGAAAGTTGGTAATTCATCTTAACTTCTCAATTTGGCATATGATGTATTGCAAAATTAAGTATCAAATAATGTTATAGATAAAGAAGCAGCCACTGGCATTTTTGATTTAATTAACTAATGCTTTTAATAGAGTTCTGGAGTAGAAGATTTTAAAAATAATTTCTGTTAATTTGCAAAAAAATATATTAGATTACAAATGGCTTAGAGTAAATAAGGTAAATCAGATTCTTAAATAAAAGAAGAGGTGACTTAATTCAGTTTTATAGAAGGAAATAAAAAGTATTAGTAAGTGAAATAAGATATTGAATAATATAAACAATATAAGAAGGCCATGGAGAATGAATTAAAATATTTCTCTACTATAATGTTGGATTGCTTTTCAAGAGATCAAAAAATTCAAAAAATTGTAATCTTGCTTGATCTATATTATGAAAAACTGTGCGATTTTGAAAAGATAAAAGAAAGTATTACAGATAAACTGATATAGTCTCATTTGAGCTAAAACTTTAGTTTTCAGGATCAGACTCTTTAAAATGCATGTATTTAACTATAAATTTCAAATCCTCAATCTTTGAACTAATTTTATTAAAAAGTAATAAGACCTAATATTTACAATCTATGTTGTTTGTTAAGTAATTAAATTAAATACAAAAACCCATTAGAAGTAATTTTATAAAAGGAGTACTAGAAACAAATTTATGCTAAACGTGATTAATTGAAAATTGATTATGAAAATCTAAATAATTAATAACAATATTTGAGATAATAATAAGATTTAATAAATCCAAACTAGAGAACATAAAATTAGATAGAATAATTGAATTAAGTAATATATTCTAATATTATTAGATGATTGATGACTTTAATAATAAACGAGATTAATATCAAAAAAAACAAAATTAACTTCAAGAAATTGAAAAACTTCAATATCATGAATTAATTATAAACAGTATTGCCTATCTTAAAAACAAAGGAATGATTAATGATGATGACTTAACATTCAAACCATAATTTTTAAAATAGTATCAAAAATATTTGGAAAATGAAAAATTTGATTAAGCTGTGTAAGAAATTCTTTTATCAGCTATAAAAAACATACCTAATGAAATTAATAATTTTTAATTAACGTCCAAAAAAATATTTTCAAACAAATTAAAATAAGCAATTGAAGTAGCAATGCTAGATGAAATTAAAAAATATATTTTTGACACAAAAATGTAGAAAGAGGATGAAAAGATTACGAGTAAAATTAATTGAGAGAAATTATGCTAATAAAAATAATTTAAGATAAATTTTATATAAAAAATATATTTTAATCTATTAAAAATCAAAAATATATAAAATACAGCATTTATATAAATATTTGTCCAATATATTTTGAAAAAATATCAATTCTTTCATAATATGAATTATTCATCGTATTTTTAATAGTCATATTCTAAAGTGATATATGATAAAAATTGGATGATCCAATAAATATATCATTCTTGCTGCTATAGTTTATTAAACCATTAATTTTAAATCATATATTATTATTAAAATATTATTATAAAAATAATAACAAAACAATTAAATTATATATATTTAAAGATCCTGATGAGATTCTATAATTGAGGAGGTTTTAAATGAATTCACTAAATCAGGCAGGATGGTATATATTGATACTGGGGTAATCGTAATTAAAGAGCAACTAAATAAATTCTGTATGAAATAATAAAATTTAATCTATCAAAAATATAGAATTCCACATGTTATCATAAAAGATCCTTATAATCTCTAATTAAATCCATAATGAAAACCTTGTAAACTCAATCTATCACTATGTAAATTTAGTGTTAATAATTACCAAATGTCATTTTTGATGATTTAGAAATAGCAATAAAGATGATGATACTTAACATTTAAAATAATAGGCTTACATTAAATAATATACTCACAATCTTTAGGAATAGTATAAGAATGAATTGCAACAGAAAGTTACTAACTAGAGAAATCATCTTTTGTGCATGAACTCAGAAATTTGTTAATAAGTTAAGCATTTGGGTATTAAATCATGATTTTCTCCACTTCTAATAATTTTAAAAGAGTATAATAAAACTATACTAAGATATAATAATTTAATGTTTGAAAATGGTGATAATATTATAATTATCGATATTATAATAATATAATGATTTTTCTCATCAACTTCTTTACAATATAATTTAATGGGTTTGTAAGCGTTAAAGATAATTATAAGATTATTGCTAGCAAAAAAAAAAAAAATTTTGAAATTTTAGCATATAATCATAGATGTATTTAATTAATTAAATAAAGAAATATATGTTTTATTAAAAAATAATAATAAAATAATTAAAATAATTTAATAGTTTCTTATTTTTTTAATTTATAAAATAACAAATTAATTTTGTAATTTTAAAAAGATATCCGTAACTTTATTTATAATTAATTTAAATTTGGAAATCATTTTTAATTTATAAATTATAATAAATTTTACTAATAATTAATAGAAATAACTCAAGCCTTAAAATTTTTTAAAGAGCAAATAAAAGTTAAAAGATAGGGAATTAAAGAAGGAAGGTTTAAAATGATAGCTTGCAAGCCGCATTAATTAATCTTCATTAATATAATTTTGGTGTACAAATTATTTCTAATTTCTTAAATCACCTAAAAGCCATGTGAAATAGTTCATAATTTTTTTGCAAGATAGATACTGTTATGACTTCCCATTTAATATTGAAAGAATTCATTTAGAATATATTCAATAAAACCTAAATTCAACATAATTTTGGTAGTTTCATAATTTAAGGGATTTTAAAATGAATTTATTTTACATTTTTAATTGAAAAAACAAAATTTAAATCATCAGTCACTCTAAAGAAGTAACAACTTCAGGAGGGAATCTGAAAAAACCTAGCTTAGCCATCATATAGGGTATTGCAAGCAGTTGCTATAAATAGCGGAAAGTGTTCTAATTAGTATAAAAACCTGAAGTTAAATATTTCTTAAGTGTACCAGATACACAATCATCACAAAATATTAAATTTTATTTAATAACTTTTTTCGGTTATTATTTAATCATGAGTTAATTACAATTTATTTGACTTTATTTGATTTGATAATTTAAGTTACTATTTTAAAGCTATCATGTTGTTTTAAATTAGATTAGATTATTAATTAAAACTGTTAGAGTATGATTTAAATCTTAAAATACATTCATTTTAATTAAATATATGTTAAATTAATTGTTAATTTTTTTAATTTAAACATAATATTATTAATTTATCTTTTTTGGATTCAGGTTGTTGAGATTCTAAAAGCAGAGTGTATAAAGTAAAAAAATCTTCTTGAATATAGAAGCTTAAATAATCCAGATGGCTAGAAACTGCTCTATTAGGGTTAATTTATAAAATATAATTAATTACTAAACCAAAGAGATAAAATGCAGTTAATAAATTACTGATTTCCCTTTTTGACTTTTTTGAAAAATTCTATACCTATGTTTCTTATGATTATAAATTCAACCATTGTTATTAATAATAATTTTTTTTATAATATTTTAAAGACATTATAATAAAGAGAGTTTGAATTAATAGGCCAAAAAACTGATGATTCCTTAAATGTATAATATAATAAGTATATAATTACTAATATTTCAAAAATTAAGAATTTCCTTTAGAAATGGCATTGATAGGTATAATATTAACTACAAGGAATGAAATATTATAATTTTTAAAAGAATAATTTAGGAAAATGTTATAAGAATAATTAATTTTTAGCGAGAGTAGAAATGGTTATAAATTTAACTATATATTTTATCTTAACTTTTAAGACTTATAAATAAATTTATTAAGGAAAAGAAACAAATAGTAATTAGAATTTTATGTAAAAAGAGCTGGCATACTAATAATTAAAAGATAGGAAAATAGGATAGAATTCTTAAATTTATATATTAATTCACTTGAGATTCTTATTAAAAATGATATTTATGAATATTTTCTATATATAATATATAAAAATTAATTAATGAAAATTTTATTAGGACTCATTATTACATCATTAGTGTTAGTTAAGGGCACAGATTAAACTAGTAACAAGATTTATTAAGTTTAGGCTTTTTCGCTGAGTTGTTGGGAGAAGATCTTCCATATTACACAGAAACTGATTATGTAAAATTTAAAGATGTTGGATCTATATATTATCATTTGATATTGAAAGAAGGAACACCAAATCTTGAAGCAATATAGAAAGGAGATGTTTTAGCTATATGGTTGAATGGAGGTCCAGGCTCATCCAGTTAACTTGGTAACTATATGGAAATTGGTCCATGGGTCATAAAAAAAAATCCAGACACAGAAGCAAAAGAGAAACCCTACATTGTCACTAAGAGAGTAAGAAATAATTATTATATGACAGGAATATTCTTGGAATAAGGTGATGCATTTACTTTTTATTGATCAACCATTTGGTGCTGGTATGAGTAAAGCTGATAAAGAAAATGTTGTCACAAATAGTGATTAGGCTGCTAACTATTTTGTGGAAACAATTAAATAGATCTATACAAGATTAAATGGTTTAGATTAAGTTACTACTTATATTTTTGGGGAGAGCTATGCAGGACATTATATACCAGCATTTGCTACAAGATTATTGAAAGATGAAGAAACCTTAAAAAAAGTCAATTTCAAAGGAATTGCAATAATAGATGGTATCACTGATACTCAAAATCAATTAAATTATTATCATAGTTATTTATATAGTATTGGAGCTATTTCTGAATTCGATTTGGAAAGATTATAGAAGATAGGTGTAAAAGGATAATAATATATTATGAATGGAGAGTATGCAAAAGGAGCAGAATAATTAGATCTTATGACAGAAGATAAATTTATAGAACAGATTGGAAATATTAATGTTTACAATATTCGAAAATACAAAGGATTAGATGAGTATGATTATTCTTGGGTTGAATTTTTAAATACTTATATCAAAGAATTCTCTTCAGAAATAACCCAATTTCAGAAATCTAATTCTAAGATTTATAATGCCTTTCAATAAGATATTGGTGAAAGTAGATTAAAGGATATTGAATTGTTATTATAGAAAAAGTATAAGGTTTTGTTGTTGAATGGATAACTAGATTATATAATTAATACACCAGGAGCATGGAATTGGATTTACTAGATAGATTGGACATATAAATATTAATGGAAAAATGCACAAAAAAAATTAATTACTTTTCCAATTTAAGGATAAGAAAACAAGGTGGAAACTCATGGATACATTAAAGCATATGAAAACTTATAATATGCAACAATCTATAAGGCAGGTCATATGATACCAACTGATAACCCAAAGGCAGCATATTATGTTATTGAGAATTTTATAAAGTGATATTATCATTTCCCTGAAATAGATCTTATTGTTTTAAAAAAGTTAGTGCTATTTAAAGTTAAGCGTGTCATGTTAGTTATCTAATGCATTGTTTATTAATGTGTTCTTGTTTCTACTTCTGTTAAATTTATAATTGTTGTATTATTATTATTATTGCTTTTTTCTCCAGATAATTTTCTACCTCTTAATTTAACATAACTTGGTCTTAATATTGAAGTTCTTTATCTTTATCTTAATAAATCAACTGAATTTTCAGTTTCCATATTCTAACCAATTGATGATTAAGATGAAGTTACAAATATAGATTTTCTTTTTTTATCTTTCTTTTCATGAAGTACTTTTTTATTTTAATATTTTTTTAATATTTACGAAATCAAAACTTTATTTTTAACATGCTTTTAAGGTGATTAACTATTTTTTTCTGGTTATTATTATCTTTATATTCTTTCTTTAATGTAAGATAAATTATTATTATTTATTATAAATCTTAATTCTGTTTTTTCTTAAGGTTCAACTAATTTTCTTTTTTAATCAAATTATATGTGTTATTAGAGAATCTCATTTTAAGATCCTTTAATTTATTTTTGAGATCTTACACATATAGAATTAGATTTATTATCTTTATTAGGCATTTAGAAAATCTCTTTTAATTTTTATTCTTTATTTATTTAGTTTTAATTTAAAGAATTCAAATATGAATCATAATTCTTAAAATTTTAAATTATTAATTGTTTTCTTTTATTTATATAATCTTTATTAACTATTGCTCTTTCTCTTAAACAATCTATAATATCTTAATGATTTCCTTATATTGCTCTAAAATCACTTGCTTCCATATAATAGGCATTAGTGATATCAACAACTTCACAATAATATTATCTTTTTTGAAAATCATCCAGAAGCTCTTCCTGACCAACTATATTACCTTCTGCTAATTAACTAAGCTTAATATAGAAAAATTAATCATACAACTATTTTAGCTTTATATTATTATTTGCCTATAAATAATCCTTATTTTATTTCATCATTAATTTTCGATTTACCTGTCAATGTATCAATATCCATATATTTATAGAGTTCTACTCTTCCAGTAACAATAATTAAGAAGAACTATGGTTCATCCCCAATTTACCATAAGATTGTTTTACTTTGGAATACAACAGGTCTTAAATATTATATAAATTTAGAGAGATTGAATTGAAGTGCCCCTGGAAATATTTTCATAAAAAACTCAATAGTATTTCTAGCTTATTGAATTGACTTTTAGAAGATGATTTTAAAATCATTTCTTCGCATAGATATACAATAAACTTTTTCTGATGATACAATAATAGTAGCAGATCTAGGTTTGTCTGATGTTAATGCTACATCTCCAAAACATTATCCAGAATAATATTGAAAAATCTAATTTAAAGAGTAATTTTACTTTTTAATATAAAAAGATTCCATCTTTATAATATCTGGAATCTTAAATTTTGAGTAAGTTATCTACATTAGTAGTTAACTACCTTTTTTATCCTTTGATAATTAATTCACCTTCATCTTATAACTTAAGTTGTTCTATTTCTTTGTTAATTTCATCTTATGGTTTTGGTCCAAAAACATATACTTCTCCTTTCAAAATGATAAACATTTTATCACCATATTCTCCATAATGAAATATTGGTGATCCATAATCATACTATTCAAATTTAAAATATTTAATAGCATTAGAAACAAAATCAGCTAATTTCATGCCTTCTGGACAATTTTATTTAAAGAATTCAATTGTTTATAGAGAATCGAGAATTGTTGTTATCAAATTACCATCATCAATTTTTCCATATTGTTAATATAATTTTAATGTTGATTAAAGTTATTCTTCATTCTCTTTTTTAATTTTTGCATGTCTAGCTGCTTAATCAAAAATTAGTGATGTTTTATTTTACATATATATATATAATTTATATATTTTAGATTTAATATTGAACAAAAAAAGTAATATATAATGAGAATTCAATTTTAAGTCTTACGAATTTTTTTTTTCTAGATTTATTGTATATCAACAGTCTTGGATTCATTTTAATTAGATTCAAGATCCTTCTAATGGATTAGAGGAATTTCACCATTCCCATTAATAAAATTTCTTATTAACTTGTATATTTATAGTTGTTTTTCATATTATTACTAAGCCTGATCATATCGGGCTCTTAATTGAGGATTTGAGAGGATTCGGTAAGCTTCAGAGATTATTCTAAATTACACTGATTAAGGATTCTTATCCTTGAATAATCAATCATAATTTACTGGATGATGCATTTTTGCAAGATTCCTGAACGCTATTTTGATTTGTTCTTGAGATGAGTTATTTTAGATTCCAAGTATATTGTAATAATTCATATATTAAAAGTCATAGGGCAATTTTTATGGCAATTAAATTCAGAATGAGAATTAACTAGAATTAATTAGAATGTTCTAAATGATTTTAAAGCCATTAAATTAATGTATTTATTTTATACTGCATTTGATTCATTATATATTAAAATATATAGAGAATTTTAAAATAATAAGAGAAGGAACTATTTAAATAAGAATAATGATCATGAGTATATTCCACATCTAAATTAATTAAAATATTATTAGGGTTTAATATAAATTTAAAAACATAAATAAAATAGTTAACATTTGTTTAATATTTGATTTCGTATATTCAAGATTGGAAATAGTTGAAATGCACATATTTTAATTGGAATTGTGTTTGATGAAAAGAGGTCACAAAGTCATGGGGAGTTTGACATTATTAAGATAAATATTATTAAAAGAATAAATCCATGTTGTACATTTACATACAGACACTTCATTTTTTGGAAATGAATTATTATTGCATGAAAATTTATTGGGATACAAAACTATATTTACAGATCATTCATTATCTGCATTTAATGATACTGTTTCATTTCATGTTTTAACAAAAATATTGAAATTCATATTAAGTGAAGTTGATCATGCAAATTACTCGTCATTGACTAAATTTTCATTTTTTTTTTGAATATAATATTTCCATATAAGAATATGTCTAAATCTATCAAATTCAATCCAAAATATAGAGCAAATAAAGTAAATATGATGATCATTAATTTAAACTAAATTGATCAATTTATGTTTATTTTTCACTTATATATACACATTATTAATATTATTGAAACCTTCTAAAAAAGATAAACAAATTATTTGTTATTTTGAAAATCCCACTACACAATTGTGTATAAATAGATTTTATACAAAGTTGTATTATAATAACATTACAATAATGATTCACATAAAAATAATCACTTCTTATTTTTATTAAATAATCATAAAGGATTATACAATTTAAATACTAAGAGAAAGGTATGAATTTATAGAATCCTCTCTGTTTCCAATATAGAAAATATTACAAACACTAATTTTTTAGCTGCCTAAATGTTTATTTTTTAGAGTAAAAATAAATTGATTCCTTTCTGCTCATAAATTTACAGATTAACAATTAAAAATAATATGTATATTTCTCTCAAAGAATTTCCAGTAATTATTTTGGATGAATATAATAATTGACTATCATTTTAAAAAGGAGTAGTGTTAATAATGATACTCATTAACTTATTAATTATTATAATCAGCAATAAAATCAATACAAAGTAAGTAAAAAGTTGTATATTCATTGCAATTTAGTGTTTATTCTTAATACTTTGAAGTAGAATATAGTATTATCTTATAAGAATATTATATGATAAAGATTTGTATATTAAAATTTTTGAAGAAAGTGTATTACAATTAAAAGTTTTATACCTTTAATTATTTCCAACATAAAAGATTATGTATCAATTATATTGAAAATGTATAGTATATTTGTTAATTAGATTGAGAAACTAGTCTAATACTTTTAATATAGTCTAAATTAAAGGATAAAATAATAATGGCAAGTAACAATGAAAATAAAGAGAAAAGGATATTTATTATCATTATAATGATGGAATGAGTTATAATCCATAGAATGATAATAAGAGTATTATATTACATGTAATATAATAAATATAATATTAGGGATGATGGTTGATATTACTGATTGTAGTTATTCGAGTATGTTTGATTTTAGATGGATCTATTTTTATATGAAACGTATACAAGTTGGACTATGTTGTTTATCAATAGAGATTGGATAATTATTGATAATTTTTATTATTGTTATAATGAATTAATCAACCAAGAATATGAAGAAGTCTGTAATATAAGATCAAAAAGTGGATGACAATCAATAAAGAAAGAAAAATGAAGAGAACTTGAAGATTCCTCTCAATTTATTCCGTTCATATACAAGAATTACATAACAATCACTTTTAGAGGAGATTGCTCCAATGATGTCTTAAATTGAATTTCTAAAAAAGAACTGTCCTGAAGGAACTAAAATAGAAGAATTTGCTGCTTAAGCTTGTTCATATTTCAAATACGAATAATTTAGTAAAGGACAAATTGTTTTTAATTATGGGGAATATGGGGACAAAGTTTATTTAATATTACTTGGTGAAGTTGGAGTGTTTGTATCAAAGTCTTAAGAAGAAATTGCTAATGATAGAGAAGTTATTGAAACATATAAAAGTAACATGAACCCTTTTGAAGAAGAAGTTTTAGATTATGAAACTATATTTAAAAAGAAAAAAAGGGCTTAAGATCTTTAAATGGAATTACTTTTAGCTTCATAAAAGAATCCATTTGAAATCAATAATATGTATTTCAAAGATGGAATATGTCTTTATAAAAAAGTCTTTTAATTTTACTCAGGTTAAGCCTTTGGTGATATGGCATTATCTTCTGATAAACCACGTACTGCAAGTATTTTGGTTTTATCAGATGAACTTCATGTTTTAACTATGAATAGATTAGATTTTAAAAGCGTTGGAGAAAGATCTATTAAAGAAAAGAATCAAACATTTGAATACTTTTTAAGTATTTTTGTGGGTGTCAGTAAATTTATTGTTACCAAGTTTATTTAATATTTTTAAAAAATTGAATTTGCCCCATAAACCATTTTATGGAAAGAAGGAGATGAACCTAAATTCTTTTTATTGATTGTTAGAGGAAGAGTAGAAATTTATAGATCATATAATGAAGATGCTTTACATGGTAAAATTAAAGAACCCTCTATTTTTTAATCCAAAATTAAACCTAAAAAGAAAGTTACTCTTTCATAACTTTCCGATAACTCTTTTGTTGGAGAAGCAGAACTCATAGACAACATTCCTGTGAGACTCTATTCTTGTATGACTTCTGATAATACTCTTGCTTATTATATGGAAAGTGATGCTTTTAATATTGTAAGAAAAAATCATCCTGATTTTCTTAAAATTTTAAAAGAGAAATCTTTTGTAATTAAGTCTTACTTACAAAGAAGGGAGAAGTACTTATTCGAAAATATACAAAAACAAGACAAAGCAATGGAAAAATTACAATATCCTGATTCTACTAATACTGAAAGAGTCACAGTAGATGAATTATATAGAGACACTAGTACATTTAACTCCAAGATTTTTAGATCTCAATAGAAAGGTATGATTACAACTACTGATATTGTTAATTCCAATAATTTACTAAGTAAGAAAATTACACCATTATAATCTGAAAATATGTTTATCTTTCATAAAAAATAAATTGAATTGTTGAAGTAAAAGAAATAATCTTAAACAAAAAGTCATAGTACTATTCCCCCCATTACTTTATAAAAATCTATTTCCTAAAGTAATTTTGCACTTGAATGTTAAGTATTAAAATCATATAGAAGAATGAGATTTAAATAGTTTTAAGCCAATAGAGAAGTATGTCTATAGATTAAATCTTAAATTGGATCATTTGTGACTACTTAACTAGGATCTTCTTCACATGATTCTTCTTTACCATAAGGATTAAATGATAAATGTCTTAAATCTCTTTAAGAGTTTTATTTTGCCAAAACATTTATTACCACCAATAAATGAGTATAAATTTTATAATTACATCATTTTGTTATATTCTAATAATTATAAAAAAATGAATGATTTTTAATAAATCAAAATTAATATTATTGAATTACTTTATATTCATTAATAAACTATTCATTATATTAAAACATAGTTAATATATATCATTAAACAATTTCAATATTATTTTAATCTAAAATTTAAATTGCTTTTTCTTTGCTTTTTCATTACAGGAGAATTTGATAAAGGACTACATTAAATTAACAAAATAAAATTACGGTAGTTTTATGACTTATGTGTTTCTTTTAGCAATTTAACTAAATTAAGTTATTTCAGAGTGCAACATTGTTTTATTTGGAGATATTGAAACTCTTTTATTATTATATGTAAATCTAATAGGTGATGGCAAATTATTGCTTTCAAAGAATATAGTACTTGTGCTACGAACTTATTTAATGAATATAGGATTTCGAGAACTACTTTTTACAAGTTTTAATTTAAAATTTATATTAGTATCTGCAGTTGAGTCATTAAATTCACAATTACTAAATTCGTTTGGTATAATAGTTCCAAATTTTTATACTAAATATTTAATCATCATCAAAGCTTTAATAGTTTAAATTGTTTTCATCTTATTATCAAATAGTTTTTTCATATCTGCCATAGTAATTGGCTACCATAATTCTCCTTCACCTGATAGCCAAGGATGTTATATAGCCTGATTGGCATTCATTCTTGCTTCAGGTGAATATGCAGCACATTTTAAAAAGAAAGATCTTTGATAATCATTCATTTCAGATAAATCAGGATTGAATTATTGAACTCTTTATATGAAAGTTGAGATAGATTCTGATGTATCCCAAAAAGGATGTTTCTTATTTATTAATTAATAAGCAATAATTCCACAGCTCCAGATATCAACAGATTTAAGATAAGGTTATTTAAATATCATTTCAGGAGCCATAAACAAGAGAGTTCCACATTTATCATAAGATAGTTTGGATTCTGAATGGGAACTAAGTCCAAAATCAATTAGTTTGAGTTATCCTTCAGTGGTAATAATTATATTATCTACTAGATATAGATAGAATACCTGGTTTGATATCTCGATGTATAATATCTTAAGAATGTAGATAAGATACTGCATTAAGTAATTCGTTAATAATTTGTTTTATATGAGTTTCTTCCATTTCAACAGTTTTAATCAATTAAGTCAGTGTTTTGCCGTCCAAAAATTCTTAGACGATGTATAAAGAATTTTGTGTTTCTTTGCTCTTTAAATAGAATATTTTAATACATAATAATATTATGCAAAATTTTAATGATGGATGGATTCCAAAATTTCAACTTCCTTTTTAAATTATTCAATGTAACAAGGATCCATTACCTATTAAATTGAAAAATATGATTACTTTAATTGCTACATTTTTAGAATCGTATTCTCCAAGATAGACTTAACTAAAAGCTCCATATCCTATTTATTGAAATAGTTTAAGATTGAAATCAAAAGAGATTTCCATTATATTTAGTTATAAATAAATATTTCAATAATTTTATTAGAATTGCTTCTTCATCTTGCTCACATTTCCTTAAAATATCTCAGTAGGAAATCTCTTTGGTTTAAGGATGATTACTTATTTTCCAAAAGTTTATAACATTGGATCTTAATTATTCATATTTGGTAAAAAGCTCTTTTTTTTTTCAGAATTATCATATGAAATCGAGATACTATTTTATGAAATGTTTCTTTGTCTATAAGGTACGAAAACACTTTAATTTTCATCAGTCAAATCAGGTTGACTTTTAGAATTAGAAGGTGCTTTTTAATTTAGACTGAAGGCTCTATAATTTGATTAAGTTTTAGTTCTTTCTCGTTATTGACTTGATTGTCTAAATTTTTTTTGTTCTTGTTACAATTTGGACAAGTTTTCATGTCTGTTTATAAATGAGAGGATCTACATTCAGAAATTCAATCATCAAATACCTAACATTAGGCCTGGCAATCATTTTTGCTTATTTTAAATCCTATTATTGGTTATTGTCAATGGATTAGTATTATTTGTAATAAATATAAGGAGTATTTCTAAGCTTTTTAATATCACTTAATGTTTGACGCTAATCTAACATATATATATATTATTTAATAAATGAATGATCTATACTATTAGTTAAAAGAAGTAATATAACTATTATTAATTACTTTAGACAGCTCAATAGAATGGTATTACTATAGAATTGATACCTTCCAATAGATAATCAATAGCTGAAATGATGCCTGATTTTTAAAAGAAAAGTTCAATGATTAGAATGAAATTACAATTAATAAGAAATAACAATGAAGAAATTAGTAGATTAACTGAAGTTATTTAAACAGCAGCATCTACTTAAAAAGAGAAAGGTTATATTTTATTAATATCTCTATATAGAATCAATGAAGAAAGTTGATTAATTATAAGGTTAAATAAATAAGAATACAACCGAAATTAAAAAGTTATTTGAAGAAATAGATAAATTAGTTAAAGAAGGTGATCCTGATGAACCAGAAACCAGAGCTATGATTTATAATTAAAAGGCAATATAATAGGAAGTGGCATCTATATTATAATCTGGTTAGAATACAATCTTTAATTATAACAAAACTATTTAAAAGAAAATGAAAAGATAAGTATTGCAATTCATATTTAATAGTTAGAAATATTAGAACCTAATTTAACAGAAAAATAGAAAACAGATATCATTTCAGATCCTTAAGGATTAGAAAAGATGGTATTAAAGGAGACCTTAGGTTAACCATCTTTGTAATTAGTTTATAGAGTTTAAGATATTTAAGATAAATTTTAAGATATTTAAAAGTTAGAAAAGGTATTATTATACATTTAATGAATATTAAGAGTACTTAGTATTGTTTTTAAATGTTATCAGAGATAGCATTTTTGGTAAATTAATAAGGAGAATAAATAGAGAGCATAGGTATTGAATTATAATAGAGAGTAGAATAAAATTTGAATAAAGCCAAGAATTATATTGAAAAAGGAGAGAAAAAATTAGCTAAGGAATAAGAGATCCATAAGAAAAGTCGTAAAGTAAAAGATGAATTTTATTTATTTAGAAAATGTGTTGTATTATTTTAATTGGATTAATTGCAATAGGAGTTATAACTACTCCAATAATTTTGAAATTTGTTAAAAGTAGCGGTTGATCTAGATTAAATTATTATATATATTAATATAAAAACCTAAGTTAGATTAATAATAATATATTAAATGCAAAATAATAATGGGACTTTATTAGCAATCATGGTAAATATAGAATGATTGATTATAGACAGTAGAGATCACATAAGATGAAAGAGATTAGATTTACATTTATGAAAATGATGATCCTAGAGATTTAGGAATAACATTTGTATCAAAACATGATCTTCCTGGACGTTTTCTATTGAAATTGATTGATAGCATATCGTAACATAAATAATAAGCATAACACACTATAAATAATGAATAGAAAGTGATCCATGATTAGAAATCAAATTATTTCAGAAATTCTACAAACTCAACTCCTTATAAATAGAATAGTTAGATTTCAACTCAAAGCTGTTAAAAGAAGAGTCCTTTAATAAGTAGTAGATCACATTGTAGAGATTTCTCATAAGATGGTATAATATTATGAATCTATATCATAGTTAGTAAGATGATGAGAGATAATAGTGCAAGAGAAATTAAATAGTTGAAGACTAGAGATGAAAATGAGTTGACATTTACTCCATAAATCAATAAAAATTCTGAATAGATAGTTGTAAAACCTATGATACTATATTTATAGAAATAAAAAAATTTAGATAATAGTGTAGAATAAAGATTAATCAATTATGGTAAGAGAAAAGAAATTAAATTATATGAGTTGAGAATGCAAAAATAATAATCTTAAAATTTGTCAAATAAATCATTTACATATCATCCCAAGACTACTTAGAGATCTCATGAGATTTTAAATGATAAAAGTGTAAGTAAAAACTACAAGGATATTTATAATAAAACACCAGAGTATTATAATTAGCATTAATCATTTTTAGTAATAATAATTCTTTTGTATTAAATTTACCATGTGCTGATTAAAGTGTTGTTTAATAAGTTTGGAGAGCCTCCTTGAAAAGATTATTTAATATACTTGATAAGGAATAAAAGGGAGAACTGAGTACAGATTAAGTTGATTTATCATAAATGAGTTATGAGATGTTACAAATTGTTGCTCCTGTTTTATTAATAATGGAAGAAAGAGGAGGTACTTTTAGATTTGATATTTTTGCCAAAGAAGTCACTAATTACTGTGTTAAGCACAAATTTGTTGAAAATTTATTTTCATTACTTTTATAATGATATTGACTGTTATATATTATTATATTAATAATATAATGGGAAATTGCTGTAATGGGAATTAAATGCTAGATCGATAGAACCCACAAATTAATTTAGTTACAGACTAATAAAATAACTCTCTTTAAATTGAAAGAGCTGCAATCAAAATACAATCTTATTTTAGAGGAATGAAGATTAGAAAAGACATGAAATCTATGAAAAATCAATATCATTGTCATAATGAACATGCACCTTTGACTATGGTTGCTAAATTATCCAAAATGCCTAATTATCTTAATGAAAAAACAAAAAAAGTACATGATGAATAAGGACCATTTCAAGAAATCTCAGAACCAGATTTACCTAAATTAGGACCATATGAATATACTGATTAAACAGTATATTATGGTTAATACAAAAATGGATTAAAACATGGTTATGGTACTCAAATATGGATAGATGGATCAATTTATGAAGGTTAATGGCAAAAAAACTCTGCTTAAGGTATTGGAAGATTAATTCATTGTGGTGGAGATGTTTATGTTGGAGAATGGTTAAATGATAAAGCTAATGGATATGTAAATTATTATGGATAATAGGGGAACCTATATACATGCTGATGGTGCAAAATATGTAGGTTAATGGTTGGATGATAAATAACATGGAGATGGTATTGAAACTTGGCCAGATAATTCCATTTTTAAAGGTCAATATTCTATGGGTAAAAAACATGGTCATGGAGAATTTTAATGGAAGGATGGTTCTAAATATATTGGAGATTTTGATAACAATTTGATCTAAGGTTATGGAGAATACACATGGTTTGATGGTAGAAAGTTTATAGGAGCTTGGAAGAATAATAAAATGGATGGTCAAGGAGTATATATATAAATTTTGATTAATAGATTTTTACATGGATAGATGGTAGAAGATATAAAGGAGAATATAAAAATGATAAAAAGGAAGGTTATGGAGAATTTAAATGGCCTGATGGAAGAGTATTGTTTATATTAATAATTAGATTTATCGTGGATAATGGTAGAATGGGAAATAACATGGGATAGGAGTTTATATAGGGGAATCGAATGTAGAGAAATAAGGTATTTGGGAATAAGGAAAAAGGATTAGATGGATTCATAAAGGGGAATCTATTATTACTGATTGAATTTATATATATAATAAAAATATAATATTTTAATGAATAGCACTGCTTAAGTCTTATTTTTAAAAGTTGAATAAGGGAATGTTAATAAAGTGATTGAAATACTGCAATAATATCCTAATTTAATAGATCTGGAAAATGTAAAGTCAGGATAAACTTGTTTGACAATAGCATGTCGTAAAAATGATGGAGCAATGATAGAGAAATTAATAAATTAAGGAGCAGATATAAATAAGACAAATAGAGTAATTTATAAAGGTTGATATAATAGTTAAATTAATCACCATTGTGGATTTGTTCATTTTATAATTATCGTAGAACTGCTGATTTTCTGTTGAATCATGGTGCTGATGTAAATTAGTAAGATAAAGTATTTAATTTTGAATATACAAGAAAGGATTTTCTCCTTTGATGATTGCAGCGTAGAGAGGAAATTTAGAGACAGTTGCTTTATTATTGAATGCTAAAGCTAATATTTAACTGTTAAATAAAGTATAATTGTATTTTATCACATTATTATAGAATCAAGATACAGTATTTGATGTTTGCAAAGATTATGATACTCTATAATTTATGATATAAACATTACAAATAGAAGAAGTAAGAGTGAAATAACCAGATAAATTCAAACCAAAATAATAATAGAATGTTAATTCAATGAAATCAACTTAGACAAAGTTTTCAAATAATTCTTATAGAAGAGAGAAATCTGAATCAATTCCAAATTTAAATGAAGAAATTTATACAATTTAAACTATGATAAATTCAATATGTGAAGAGATGCAACTCATTTTTAATGAGAGTATTTAAAAATTTAAGGATTGTATTTTAAATAAATAGAATTTAATTGAAGCAAAGAAATCAATTTCAATTGAATATGAATAAATTCAATAATCATAACATATTGAAGATAATATTCAATTTTAATATGATAATTTTCAATATGAAATTAGTAGACAAATAGGTAGAACACTTTATTCTATTATACATAATTTGGATAAGGCTTAAGTCAAATCTCCTTCTCCAAAGAATAAGAAATATTTATCAGCAGAACCTTTAATTGAAGCTACAATTGAAGAAGAGTAATCTACACCATTGGGTTAATTTCGGAATCAATTAAAGAAAGTAGAGACACCATCTTAAGTAAAAGAACCATTAAGTAGAGGTAGTGTAAAAGGTGAGAATGAACAATTTAATAGGATGATGACTTAGAAATTGGAGATTTTGAATGAAATGATTAATTCTCGAATCGGAAATAAGAAATAGTGACTTATAATTACTAAAATATATTTAATAATTAAATGTAAAGTAAGTTTGACAAGTCATTTTTTGATGAGCAGACTATTGATTGTTCATTTTGGGAAAAGTCAACATAGAAAATAAATATTGACTTAAATGAATATCAATATATATTGTTTTAGAAAAGTAGAAAAAGTGGATTCTGGGTAAGCAGAAACTATATAATTCTTGATTCTAAATTAATCAAATTGAGAGTAAATTATAATATTCTATATGTTTTAAGCCAAATAAAAACACAATTCATTAGATCAATCTGAATAAGAGTAAAATAGAGAAAATTAAATATCAAAATAATCAAGAGAAAGAGAGTTGTAATAGAGTATTTATATGATTATACATGAATTTTAGAAGAAATATGGTTTTAGAATTATTAGAAATCAAATATGTAGAGAATTCTATTCAAGATCAAAAGAATTGAATCAAAAAATTTGGGATGAATTGAAAAAATAATCTTTATAGATTACATTCAAATAAGATTATATAATTGAAAAAATGATTGGAAAAGGAAACTTTGCTAAAGTATTAGAATTTTCTATTATTTTTAGGTGTATCTTTGTAACAAAAAATCTGACAAATAATAATTTGCAGTAAAAGCTTTTGAAAAAAGTAAGATGATAAACACTGAAACAGATAGATTAGCTTTATTGAAAGAAATATCTATTTTACGTAAATTGAATTATAAGGGACTTATAAAAATGTATGAAGTTTATGAAGATGAGACACATATTTATTTAATTCAAGAATATTTATAGGGTGGAGAATTATATTAAAATATTAAAAAAAATAACAAATATCCAGAAAATACTGTGGCTAAATTAATAGCCACTTTATTAGAATCTCTTGATTATTTACATAAGAAGAGTATACTTCATAGAGATCTTAAACCAGAAAATTTGATATTAAGAAAAAAAGGAATATTGGATGATATTGTAATTACTGATTTTGGATTGGCTGATTTTTATGATCCATTAGGAAATTATATATTCTAAAGATGTGGTACTCCTGGATTTGTTGCACCAGAAGTATTATAAGACAAAATTTATGATTAAAAAGTGGATATTTTTAGTGTTGGATGTCTAATGTATTTATTATTAGCTGGTAAATCACCATTCAAAGGATCCACTTATGATGAAGTAGTGATGCGTAATTATCATTGTAAAATTGATTATCAATCTATTGAATCAATTATATCTATTTAATGTATATTTGTATATTAAGTTAGGCTTACAATTATTAAAATTATTATTACATCATAGACCATCATAAAGACCAAATCCTAAAGATGCATTAAAACATGAATGGTTTATGCTCAATTTAGATGAAAAAAGATATAAAGAATTAAATAATAATGAAGAATAAATTTAATATACTAAATAAACTACTAAATCTACTTTAACTGATGTAGGAAGTTGTGGATTTATGAAAAACTTTGTTGGTCCTTATACTTGTGAGAAGTCTGAGTTTTCTACTCCATAAATTTCACATCCAAATAATAAATAAAATAATGTCTTATATACACCATAGTATACTATAATGCAATCTATACAAGAATAATTTAAAGATAGTGAACAATAAATTTCAATTAAAAATTTAGAAGATGAATTTAGTGATATGATGTTTGAAGATGAATCTCCTCAATCACATAAATTACCTTAATATTAATTAATAGGAAAATTAAAATAAGTTGTGGATTCAAATAATTCATCTTATTATACTTCTCCTGTTATCAAAGTATTATTAAATTTAATTATAATAATAGAAAACACCAGAGAGTAATACAAAAGGTCTTGAGATTAGGACTCCTATTTTGATTACTCAAATAATTGAAAATCATACATAACCTAGAGTAGCAAATAAAATTATGAACAACTTAAAAAATTTTGAATAAGTTTGATATATAATTTATATTTATGACTAAAAATGTTAATATAAATCAATAGGTTAATTTTTCTACTGTTTATGATTTTTTATGTAACATCCTAGCTCTTGCAGCATAAAGCCATTTAAATACAAATGCTTTTGCAACAAAATTCTATGATGCCAATTTAGCTACATCATTAGCACTTTAATTTTATCTTTATAAAAATCTACTTTTATAAGCATTCTCACAATCAATACATAATGTAACAAATTTTTAATGAGTTTCATAATATTTAATCCATTCAAATTTATTAAATGGAGTACCCATTATTCTATATTTAAATTGATTTGACATTTTTTCAAATGGTATTAATTCAACAACTCTTAATTCAATATCTAAACCACATCTTTTACAATGTTCAGCTTAATTTTAAGCTAATACATCTGATACTAAATATTTTAAAAAAAGTGTCTATTTTGCCTTATAATACCAAATTGATAATATCTTTCTTAAATTTTCAACCTATGATCTTTTAATTCTAATAGTATGTTAATATCCATCTATTTCTTCAATATCTCTTTGAGACTTAATGATAGATTATGATTATGATGTTTTTCTTCTCTTTTTCTTTGATTTTAATTCTAATTCTTTTTATTTTTTAATCATTTATTCATTTCTAATAATCTCTTTTTATGCTTTTCTTTCATCATTCAATAATAATTAATATGTTTACAATAGAAATTCATCATGCTATGTAAATTAATCTACATTTATAAATAATTCCAGATTAGATACTAACCAATCTTTATTTAATTTGATAAAATGTTTTTTAAATGCATCAACCTCTATAATTTATTCAATATTTTCTTTTGCAGGATTAAGAAATTCTTCTAATGAATCCAAATTTAATTTTTACTTTGTGTCTTTAATCTTCCAAACATCTATTTTATTCCATATATACAACATCATATTTTAAAGTAAAGTAATAAATATATAGATAAATAAAATGATTAAGAAAATAGCAGGATCTTAATATAATACATAATTATTTCTAATCATAATGGTAGTTCCTAATATACAAAGGAGTATACTATATATAACTAAACTACCATTATAATAAAATTAATCTGTAAATTTCATATTATCTATAGATCTATATTAAGCATCAATACTACGATCATAAGTTAAGGAATGTTCAAAGAATTTTTAGATTCTGAAATCATTTCTATATTTACAATAATCAAAATAATCAAATAATTTAAATCCATAAATCATTTCTAAACTATTCAAAACATAAATATCTATAAAGATTTGAGGAATTATAACAAAAAAAGCAAAGTAAATATAATAATTAAATTCTCTAAAGCCTATATAGTAATTATTAGTAATCTAAGACTCTTTTTCAAATAATTTGATGAATACTAAAACAATAGGTTTAATAAAGATTGCATGAACCTTACTACTGAAACCTAAAGTCATTTAGATAACATATTCAATTGATTAATCCTCTGTAAATTTAGAATCAGTATGTTATCCTAAATAAAATGAAATATTATCTTCAGGTTATTTTTCTTATTCTGATTCTAAACTAAAGAAAGGTTGCCATTTATTCATAAAATTCATAAGCTTCTTTTTAAAATGTTTGAAATTTCTAATAACAGGATTAATGTAAGTTCTGAATACAATAATTAAAGAAAGTCTAATTACAAAAGAGATAACAAATTCTTAGAATGATTCAGCAGCCATAAACATTATAAATTGGACTACTTCCAAACATGCCATCAAAGGTTATATGAGTGTTTATTCTTCTAATAGATATTCACTTAAAAGCCAATATACAAAAGATTCAATAAATTAGAGGACAATCAAAAAGTAATATATATTCTTATAAAATAATTATTCATATGAAAATCCAAGAAAGAATAATAATAAAGCAGCTATCATAATACAAATTAATTAATAATGATAATCTTTACTTATTAAACTATCTTTTAATTTATCTATAATATCCTCTTCATCTGCTTATTAATTTTGATTTATTTAAGGTTATTGACTCTATTAGGCTTAATTAAATATTGATTACTTTTTATCAATGGGATTTCCAGATGAATTTCTGTAAAAAATTAATATATATAAATTATTACTATCTTTGTAAGAGTTAGACAGGACTTATAGAATCCTTTAATGATTAATTATCTTTGATAGAACTACTTTGTTTAAGAATAGTGGCTTTTTTGAAGAGTGAATTCTTTGGCATGGTTGGTTCCTTTTCTTTAGTCATAGGAGGAGCAGATCCTGGAATGGGTTATTATTTTGAAAATAAGGAACCTTATCTACTAATACTATTTGATTAAAGATTATTCTCAACATTTTTGGAAGTAACTTAAGCTTCTCTGATTTCATCTTATTTCATAGGACTTTCTTTAGATTCTTCTTCACTAATACTAAAATCATAATATTTCTCTTCATTTTTCTTTTCAATATTAGATCTAATAATTCCCCAATCTTCATCAATTGGTTTTGGAATACACAATTTACAAGCTATTTTCATAATAATAATTCCAGATACAACTAACATAAGTCCAACTCTTCCTTTTTAATATTATTATTCATTATCAAAATCAGTAGATAATCCATCATAATTATATGTTATTCCTGAAAATAAATCAGGAGCAAATAGATTATCTAGTATTAAAACATATATTATAATAGGAATAGTTGCTCTTATGACTCCAGTAATAGGAGGTAGGAAAGCAACAATAAATGTTTAATAAATTCTCAATTTAGGTGGATCAGGAATTATTGAAATTGATTTATTGATTACCCAGATTACAAAAATACCAATATTTATTAAAATTCCTATTACTAGATATAAAACTAAATATAAAGTAATATCAAATTAAAAAGAATTAATTAATTCTAAATAATCCATAGGACGATATACAATATTAAATGTATATTTATTTATAATTGATGTTACTTTTTGATAATTTGATGCTGTTATTATTGCAGAGACAATCTACTTTTCAGTTTAGGATATTTAATTATAGAGAATTTGTAATGTAAATTCAGTTGGATAACTATTTTTGATAACTCCAGAAGTAATAAATTAAACAGCAATTAAGGATTCATCTTATGCTTATATCATATTATAGAAATAATTAGTTTTAGAATCATCTGAATTTTCAGCCAAGATTTTATAATTCAAAGCATATTTACTAATGTAAAATAGCGAATCTTATTCTGATTACCACCATTTATTTCCTTCATATTCTATCATCAAATTCTCTAAAAAATAACATTCCAAATTGATATTACAAGAATCTCCTTTAGCATTAAATCCATTTGTTGGTACCATATTTACTACTTTTGTATCTTCTTATGCTACTAAATTACAGAAAGTTGCATTTTCTAATAGATTATAAAAATATAAGTAATAACCCTAATCTTTACAATTACCCATAAATGGAATCCATGTTAATGCTATTATAGATATATCCTTTTCTTAATATTCTTACCAAAATTCTTATCCAAATGGAGTTAAATTCTGAGGAGGTTTCTCTAAATCATCATTTATTATATCCAAATTGTATATTTTATTAGTAGGTAGATTAAATGGCATCATATATGATTCAATAAGTTTCTAACTCAATATTATTGGAAAGAGATTAGGCTATGTTAATATTCCTCTTGCTGGTGATATTATTATTGCTGACTATGAAATTACAATTTAATAATACTATTGCTATTGATGTCAATATTGATTTTTCTTCAGTATTTGTTGCATTTACATATATTTTCAATTCACCTACTTATCTATTCATAAGTTTTAAAGTGCATGATTTAGTTATCTCATGTGAAATATCATCAGTTATATAAAGTAATATCTTTTCTTAGTTCAATTAATAATTTCCTATTTCTACTTTCAATTTCACTGTTTAATAAGTCTAAAGGGTTATAAATTCAGATGGATTCCCTTCAGGAGTAGTTATATTGAATCTTAATTAATATGTTTAAAGAATAAATAAAAAAATAATCATAATAATGAATTAACAATTCACTATTACAATATTCAATTAGTAAATAATTCCATTATGTAAATTTTTATTCATTCTGAATCTGAATTTATTAATACCAAATCTACAAAAGGTAGGCTCCAAATCCTTCTAAAATAAGGCATTAATCTTAGTGGTTAATACAAAAAATTCAGAGAAATTAATTCATCATCATCTGATTTAACTTCATTTGCATGATAATCATACAATTTTTATCTTTTTCCTTTACCTTATTTCCATACTCTTAAAATCTAACTAAATTACACTCTACATTATGGACAAGTTAAATTCTATTTTGCCCAAATCTCAATGCATTTAAAACAATACGAATGTTAACATGTCTAAATTATACCCTTTTATTATTAATCATTTTCATTATACTTTATCAACGATTTAACCATAACAAATACTACATTCTTCAATAGGTTACTCATTAACAGGTTACTTTTTTGCCTTCTATTTCTTTATTCTCTTTTTTATTGCCTTTCCATCTTCTCCTGTATTCTAACTTTCCTTTTGTTATTCAAATTGATCCATTATATTTATATATTATAATAATTATTAAAATTAATACAAAAATTCGAAGATAAATATTAAACTCAATCTTGTTTACTAGAATCAGAATTATTTTCACATTTTAAATTACAAATATCATTAACTCTATATATCAAAATCTTAATTATATTTCTCTTTATCTTTATAACATTTTAAATGAATCATTTAACTCCTACATTAAATCAAATTAATGAATATATAAATATATAGATAACTAAAAAAATCAATAAATTAGTATTCATCCTATTAATTATAGGTATATCTCTATAAAAGGGTTGTAGTTTTACTTTTTAAGTAATCATGTCTAATAAATTTTATGTTTCTTAATCATGATTGATTACAAAGAAAAAACAACATTAATGGATTAGATCTATTTTTACAATAGATAGTGATCTATATTATAAATAAAGAGTAGTTTAATTGTTTTAGGTTCTTTATTATGAACTATGTGTAGACTTTCAAATTTAAATAATTGAATTCTTTCATTTTAATTAAAATATTTAGTATGCAATAGTTAAGACATTCAATTGAATGTACTCAAATTGATCATGATCATCAATAAGTGTAGTATGTTTGTATAGACCCAAGTTGTACATAAATAGAGAAAGGAATGTGTGAAGTTTGTAGATATGGAAATCATTTATAACATTCTTGTATAGAAGTTAAACAATTAGATGAATTGGTAATAAAAGCATATGAACAAGAAAAAGAATAGAATAACAAAATTTACAAAACTAGTTGTTAACGGATTAAATTATCAATTTAATTGCTCTAATAAAAGCTGTTATAAATAATGCAAGAACTTAAAGATATTTGTAAGATGCAAAGGGAAGAATCATTATTAGAGCTTTTAGTTGAAACATATGTAAAGAATGAAAAACTAAATTTAGAAGAATATAATGCAGTTAGAGATTTGGTGATTGGTAATTTAGATTGTTTTTTTGGTTAATATTTTTGGAAAAAAGAGATATACACAAATAATTTTAAGTCCATTTAATAATATTCAGACAACTTGTTGAAATAAACAATATTATTCACTGAAGATATAAGTCTATTTTAATAATATGGCATTTAATTATGTAATGTTTAGATTTAAGAATTTAAAGAATATTTTAAATAACAAAATAGTAAATATTAGGACATCTTGAATTATAATGAAATATTAAAGAAAGAATAATTTAATAAAATAGAACCTATAGAATAATTCTATAAAAAATAGTTATAAAAAATATCATCTGTTGATTTCTCAAATAAATTAGATTTATTAGCAATAGGAGGTAGTGATAAATATGTTCTAATAATTGATTTTAAATCAGCCAATTGTTAACAAGAATTATTGATATCTACTTAATAAGTATATAGTGTTAGATTCTCTCCAGATGATAAATATTTAATAGCTGGAGGATCAAAACCCTTTGAAATTTATTGTTGGATTCCTAATAATTGGAGTTTACCTCCAATCATATTAAGAGGTCATACTAATTACGTTTATAGACTAATATTCAGTGAGGATTCTAGATTTCTATTATCAAGTAGTGCAGACAAAACAGCAATTTTATGGAATATTGATAAGAAATTATAATAACAAATATACAAAGGACATACTTCAAATGTCTATGGTTGTGCAATATCTATTAAATCTAATAGAATTGCAACTATAGGTGGAGATGAATTTATTATTGTTTATGATTAATTATCAGCAAATATACTTCATTAATGGAAAGGACATTAATGTGAATATGGTGGATCATCAATTAATTATTTGTAGAATGGTTAATTGATGATATCAAGTGGTTATGATGGATTAATAAAATTGTGGAATAGCAATAATTATGAATTAATTAGAGAATTTATAGGTCATAGTAAGAATTGGGTATGGAGCATTTCTATTTCTTAGAATTAAGAATTATTTGGATCCATTTGTAATGATTATACAATTAAGATTTGGGATATCAAATAAAACAAACCTCTATTAACATTATAAAATGAAAATAATGGTGCTCCTGGCTCTGAAATAATATTAAAGTAAAATTAATTTGTTATTGCTACTTCTACTTAATCTATTAAAATTTGGAAACTCTCTTAATGATAAATTTATATATATATATATATAATTATTTATAAACAAATATGAAAGAAAATATATTTTATTTTAAATATATAGTAACATAAATCTAAATGGCATTAGGTTCTATAGTTTGGTTTTGCCTGCTTAATTGTAAATTTAAATAGGTTTATTATTTAACATTATTGATTCAAAATTATTCTTAATTTTATTAAATTCATTGAACTTATTATTGAATTTATTTTTACCATTCTTCTCTGGTCTTATTAGACAATTCTATAGAGATTAAAAAAGTATCATATATTATAAGACACTTGGTTTAATTATTGTTACTTTTTGTATTTCTATTAAACTTTGTTATCACAATAACTCCATTTATTTTCAAGTTTCTTAAATAGTAAAAATAATTAAATTGAATTAATAGATTGACATCCTTCATGAAATCTTTTTGTTAGTTTTAGCAATTTTAGCCATGTTTATATTCTTAATGTAAATAATAAAAATAAGAAATTTGTTCATTTCATAGATAATAGTCTTGAATTTATTACAGAATTTATTACAGAATATTATATATTAACTAATTTAATGAAGACCATCTTGCAAAGAGGATAATTGAATTCAATTCAATTCAAATTTCAAATATAATTAATAAAATAATATTAATCAAATATATATATATATATGTTATAAGATATATGTATATATTTATATCTCTTTTTATTATTAACTTGAAATTTAAAAAAATTCAAAATTCTCAATTAATAAATGATAACTTGGAACACATTTATATAACAAAAAAAGATTGCAATTGTTAAAATTAATATTTGATAAAAGTAAAAATAGAAATTAAATTAATTAAATAATGGATTCTGCCTCGATTATATGGGATAATCAACAAACTATAATGTTTGAGGAAGGATTGATAAAAAGGAAGACTTCTTGGTTTAAATAATTATTCTTTATATATGTATATCCTATAATGAATGTAATTTATTGAATTTAAATGTTATTAGAAAGCTAATAAGTAGGGATTAGATGAAAGTCTAATTAATGAATTGGAATCTTAGCAATAATCATATTATAGACATCAACGTTTTTCTGAACATTTAAAACTAAATCAAAAGGACAATTTAGTTGATTTGATATTGAAATATTATTTATGTACGTTATTTGTTGATAACCATAGAGTATTTTTTGAAAGGATTTTTGATTTAATTAGTAGTACTTTTTAGTCAATTAGCAATGCCATTATTAACTAAATATATTATTGAATTTATTTATGAATCAAATAAGGATTATCATTAAGCTTTATTACTTATTTTCCTTGTATTAGTATTGAGAATAATAAATTTATTATCAATGTCTCATTCCAGATTCATTATGGTAAAAATAGTATATATCAATAAGAAAATCTATGGATATGATATTATGTCAGTGATTAGTTTAGAAATTATGAATAAATGTCTTAAAATATCATTATTGAGTAATCCTGAAAGATCTATAGGAGAAATTACTAATTTGATTTAAGTTGATGTTCAGCGACTTATTTAGGTACCCAATAATGTTGTAAATATTATTATTATCCCAATACAATTATGTAATTATTATTATTAAATTAGGTATTATATTGATATACATTTATAAAGAAATTGGTATTTCAGTAATAGTAGGAATAGTTATTATTATTTTTAGTATAATTTAAAACAATTATGTTGGAAAATAAATTGTTAAAGCATAAAAGTAAGTCTTAAAGTCTAAGGATAATAGAGTCAAAGAAACAACAGAAGTTTTTTAGTTAATTAAATTTATTAAGATAAACGCTTTGGAATAATTTTTTCTATAAAAAATCTATAAATTAAGAGAGATTGAATTAAAATGTATATAAAATAGATTGAAATACTTTTCAATAAATGTATTTATAGGTTGGTTATCTCCTTAAATGATTTTAAGCTTTACTTTTGGATTATATGTATTATTGGGAAATTAACTAATTCCTAGTAAGACTTTTCCTATAATTGGATTATTGTCAATTTTAGCAGCAAGTCTTTAATTGTTGCCAATTTCATTAAATGATCTCTTAGAAACAAAAGTATCTTTGAAAAGAATATAAAATTTCTTAAATGACAAAGAGTAAATGAATGAAATATATTCCTATACCAATAAGGCTGCATATTCAGCTTTGGAGATTATTCAAGGAAACTTTTTCTGGAGAAAGGAATGCAATTAAGAGTAATAAATCTTAAAGAATATTAATATAAGTGTGGAGAAAGGGAAGTTTGTATCTATAATTGGAGATGTTGGATCTGGAAAATCTTCTTTGATTTAAAGCCTTTTAGGAGAAATGATCTACAAGATTGATGATTTTAAACCAAAAATAAATATATCAGGTCAAATTGCATATGTAGGATAGAAAGCATGGATTTAAAATGCTACAGTTTAAGAAAATATTCTGTTTGGTAAACCATTTGAAGAGAAATTATATGAATAATCAATTAAATATTCATGTCTCAGTCTGGATTTAGAAATATTAATTCATGGAGATCAAACTATGATTGGAGAGAAAGGAATCAATTTATCTGGAGGACAAAAGGCTAGAATAAGTTTAGCAAGAGCTATTTATAGTAAAGCAGAAATCTTCTTATTAGATGATCCATTAAGTGCTGTTGATGCTTAAGTTGGTAATTTCATATTGAAGGAATGTTTTATCAATTTATTAAAAGGTAAAACAAGAATTTTAATTACTCATGCATTAAATTATTGTAAATATACAGATTATATTTATTTAATGTAAAAAGGAGAAATCATAGAATAAGGAGATTATTAGAAAATGTAGAATAATGTAATATATCAAGAAATAGAAAAGAAATTTGAATTTGATATTTAAGAATAAGAGATCTAAGAGTATACTTAAAATACTAATATTTAATTGGTTAATGAAAAAGATATTGAATAAAATTAAGAATAACTTAGTAATATCAATAAAAATAAATCTGATTTAATGACTGTGGAAGAAAGAAAGAAAGGAGAAATCGATTCAGAAGTATATGTTAAATATTTATAATACAAAAAGAATTTAATTTATTAATCTATCCTATTTATTATTATGTTAATTTGGATTATCTCTTAAATTATGGCTAATTTATGGGTAACTGAATGGACTAATAAATATGCTTCATTAGGAGATCATTATAACGAAATCACTTACTTTTTGGTGTTTTTAATACTAGGATTTATTCAATCATTTTTTGCCTATTTAAGAGCTCTTATGATTGTATCATAAAGTATAAAATCTTCTTCCAAAATTCACAATGATATGATTAAATGCTTAATGTTTGCACCTCAATGTTAATTCTTTGAAAGAGTACCACTTGGTAGAATCATGAATAGATTAACTAAAGATATTAATTCTCTAGATGTTGAAATACATGTTAATATTGCATAATTTTCAACAAAGATAAGTTAAATACTCAGCAATAATTTATTAAGTATTTATGTTAGTACTTACTTACTCATTTTCCCTTTAATTATCTTCTTTTATATATGCTTGAAAATCTAAAGATTATACATGAAAGCCAGTAGAGAACTTCAAAGATTAGAACTCATCAGTCGAAGTCCAATTCTTAGTTATTTTACTTAATCTTTGATGGGATTAACAACTATTAGAGCTTACTCTCAATAGGAATTTGTAATGAAGGAATTTGCTTAGAAATTAGATCATAATAAATAGATAGTCAATTATTCAACTGCAGCTAGTTCTTGGTTTCTATAAGTTTTAGGATTTGCTAGTCTAATAGTAAATACATTTGCAATTGGTTATTGCATCTTATTCACAAGTAATCCTTCTTTTGCAGGGTTGATATTAACATTTGCTGCTAGTTTGGATAGAAATGTGTAATAAACTGTTGATTCTTTAAGTTTGTTAGAAAATAATATGATATCTTTTGAGAGATGTTTAGAATACACTAAAATAGAATCAGAAAATCTGACAGAAATTAAAACTGTAGAATAATCGTGGCCTAATTAAGGGCGAATTAAATTTATTAATTATTCAGTTAATTACAGAAGCAATCTTCCATTAGTTCTTAGAAATTTATGTTTATCAATTAATTCTCAAGAGAAGATAGGTATAGTAGGAAGAACTGGTGCTGGGAAATCATCTATAACTCTTAGTATTTTAAGAATACTAGAAGCTATATAAGGTAGTATTGAAATTGATGATGTTGATATCTCAAAAGTATAAATATAAAGATTGAGATCATCTATCACTACTATACTTTAAGATCCAGTTATTTTTACTGGTACAATCAGATAAAACTTAGATCCTTTGGATAGATGTAGTGATGAAGAAATAATGAAGGTGATTGAAGAATGTTGTTTATTGTAATTGATTAATGATAGGAATGGATTAAATACTTAAATAAATGAAGGAGGCGATAATATGAGTGCAGGTGAAAAATAATTGATTTGTATTGCAAGAGCAATATTGAAGAAAAGCAAAATAGTTTTGATTGATGAAGCTACAGCCAATATTGATATAGATACTGAATAAAAAATATAATAATCTATCCTTAGATTATTTAAGGATCATACAGTAATTACTATAGCACATCGTATTAATACTATTTTGCATTGTGATAAGTAAATATTTAGATATATATTTAATAAAGAATTGTTGTAATGAGCAAAGGAGAAGTAAAGGAGTTTGGATCACCAAGTGATTTATTAAATGATAAATCGTCTTTATTTTATGAGGTCTATCAAGAGGCAATGAATCATAAATGATTAAACTTTGAATATTTAATGAATAAATAAATAGCATACTTAACTTTAAACAAAACAGTTTACAATAATTAAAAATTAAATAAAAAACAGTATATTTATAAATTGAAAAAATATTATCAGGATATATCACATTATAAAACAATTCTTTACAATAATTCTCTAAGTAATAAAATATGTAATACGTTCCATTAACAGTTCATTTGAATGCTCTTGCTTAACTATATTAATAGTGTGCTACACTATCTGAAAAACATGATAGATTAGCAAAAGGGTTGGACATTTTCAATACTGAAGTTCCTCAATTAATCATTCCTACTTTGATTGATTAAGAAAGAGTGATGCAAGAATAAAACACACAAGCTCACTAGATCTAAGAATATAATTCTTAGAAAAATAATTCTCCAACACCCAGTTAGAAGAGTCCTGTAGAAATTACGTAAAGAAATAAGTTTGAAATTTTAGTTTAGGAAGTGATGAAGATGTTGCAATTGAGTAAGGAACCAAACCAATATAAAGTGAGACAAAAAAAATAAAAAAAAATAAACAAAATGTAGATAACTATAAATTTTTATAATGCTCAGAATGCCATAAGTAAGTAAAAAATTTAGCAGGTTTAAAAAGACATTAAACAAGAATGCACACTAATAAGCCTTTAAAAAATGTGACTAAAAAAATTTAAGATAACAAACCTTAAAAGGTATAAAATTCAAATTTAATTTGATTCATTATTTAATATATAAATGTATTACATGTTGTTAGTCTTTTGTATTTATTAAATAAATGTGCTTGGAATTAAATGAAATAATAATATGATAATAATAACAAAAAAATAGTTCAAAATTTATTCACTCTATTTATTAATGATTATAATTTTATGGATTAATAAACATAGCCTGTGTAAATTTCCTTTGGTGAATAAAATTGCAGATGTGTTTCAAATATTGTATTCAACAAAAGACATGTTTTCGCTGTTGGAACTTGGAATGTTAAGAAATATAATGAAGTAACATTAAATTTTAAATATTTCTACAGATATTTGTGAATGAATATTTAGAATTGGAATAAAAGATTGTATAATTGTATAGAATACCAATAAATGGATTAGTTGAGAAGATCATTTCAAAAAAAGAATAATTATATATTATTTACATTGATCGTATTAACTATAGTTAAATTATAGCATAATAAAGAAAGACAAAACTTTGTTGTATAGAATTAGCTGATAATGGAAGATATCAAGTAAATTTTGATTTATTGTATGAAGGATTGACTAAGTAAATAGTTTTAATTTAATTTCTTAGTATCATTTGTCCTGAAGATGATCCAATTATTTATTTGAGTTCCAATAAATCCATTATTCAATTTGATTTGAATAAATAATCATTTGATAATATAATTGATGATAATGATCTCTATAATTTATGTGAATAAGACCCACATCATAAGAATTTATTTGTTAGATCTTAAAACAATTATTTATGTATTTAAGACACCAGAGAAAAAAAGTAATTAAAAATATAATCATTAGAGTAACTAAATTCAAAGCACATAGTTTATAAATATTAGATATTGATTTTAATCCTAATAAATAATATTATTTAATAACTGGTGGTGAAGATTGTTTAGCTAAAGTTTGGGATATTCGTAAAACATAATATGCAATTAAATCATTCGAAGACTTGTAGAATTCAGTTTTATAAGCAAAATTTAATAAATTTCATGACTAATTAGTTTCATTATCATGTAATTTTAATATATATATATATGTAGTTGATGATGGTACTATTTCATTATATAATATTACATCAGTTTCCTCTGTTCCTTAATTAAATAAGGAAGATGATTATTTGGTTAAATAGTATGATGAACATGAAGATTCAATTTATGGATTAAGTTGGTCAAGAGGAACTGCATGGGTTTTAGCATCAATAGGTTATAGTGGTCATATGATAATAAATACAGTTCCAACCACTGAGAAATATAAAATATTATTGTGAAAATTATATTTAAAATATGTAAAATTATATATTTTTGTAAAAAGAAAGAGTCTTCATAATTAATACTCAATTATGAAATAAATCTATTGATAAGAATTATAAATAATGAATAATCAAAACACATTTTACAATACTCAATGTCTCAAAAATATAAATATATTGAAAATTGATCTAAAAGATAATAATTTAACAAATTCATTATAACTGATAATTTATTTGTCTAATTAAATTCTTTTAGATCAATAATCAAAAAAAGAGCTTAGTTAATGTTAATTTATTAATTCAAATAATAATGTTAAATTTCAATGGTGGATATTTGAAATATTAATTAATTATATTCATTAAAGGAAATAGCTCTATCTAATAAGATATGGAATCTGAAGAAGAATTTATAAGATGATTGAAAACAAAATTATTTAATGTTACTGAAATTTATTAAAAACTCTTAATTAATATAGAATATCATGATAGCTATAACATAAATTTATTAATATTTTCTTGTTAATTATATAACAGATATGTCTTGTAAAAAGGATAATCGAATGGATAAGCTATAAACGAGACTAAAGGAGCTTGAGGAGGAGAACAGAGTATTGAAACAAGAATAAAATCAATTAATATCTACTTTATTAAAATAATTGAGTGAATTATAAGAATAAAATAGGGAAATCTTATAAAACAATAAGAATAATGGAACTATCTTAAATGAACTAAATAAAATTTGTGGAACCAATCAAACTAATATAGATTTATTGTTTTTAGATCTTAATCATAAAATTTAAGATTACAAATAACAATTAGCATTACTAGAAAGAACTTGTAAATAGTATGAAGAAATAGTAGTACATTAAAATAAATTGAAAGAAAGAACTTTAAAGAGTGTTTCATCTTAAAATATTGTGTATTATAGTAAAAAATAAAGTATGGAGTCTTTGGATTGTCATATAAAATTAGAATCCTAACTATTGGATGAAGAATAATCATTGTTGGAATTGTTAGAGATTCCATAAGCTAATAAATTGTGTTTAAAAATTGACTAATTAGGTCAGTAGATAATAGAGAAACTAAGGGATTATAGCTAAAAACGGGATAGTAGACATAAGTTGGTGGAGTAACTAATACCTCTAAAATAAGCACTGTTACTATGAGTATAAATATATATAATTAACAATATTTATTCAGTTAATGTATAACACAAAATAACACAAATCATAGGTTAAGAGCATTCATTCCAATTGATCAAAGAAGGTGTCGAGATCATCTTCATAGTTGTCTATAAAGTTCTTGATCATAGGGTTTTCTGGTCTCTCAATCTCAGAGAAATGTGAATCGTAGGATTGGGTAGATGAGACACTCACAGAATCTGTTTTTATTTGTTAAATAAGTCGAATTAATGGTTTTGGTTGACTAATTGTATGAGTGTTCATATGTATATAAAAATCTTAAAAAAAATATTAAAAATATACTTAACTCACATCAGGTATTTTATAATGCAAGAATTTTTATCATTAAAAAAACTCATTGAACAAAAAAAATCATAAGAAGGCAATTTTGCAACAATTTAAGAATAAAAAGTAAAGGTTTAATAAGAAAGATAAAAATTATAATAGGATTAAAGAGAAAGAGAAAGAGAAAAGGTATTTCTTTAATTTTTATTCATAATTAGCATGAAAAATTAGTAAAGAAACTCAAATTGTAAGATGAATATTACAAAACTAAGGATATTGAAAAGATTATAATAAAAAGATTAGATTAATAATGTATTAACTCAGAGAAGGATAAAATTTAATAAGATGAAATTTAAATACCTTAAGATCTCCCTCCCATTGAAAAAAAAGAAGTTCAAAAGAGACTAAGAGATTTAGGAGAACCAATTACTTATTATGGTGAGAGTGATTGGTAAAGATACAAGAGATTAATGGAATTTGTTTAAGAAAAAAAAGAAAATAATCAAAAGGAATTAGAAATCAAAATTTTAGAAGGAGAAGATAAAGAGGAAATAAAGATGTTTCTTAATAAGATTAAAGAGAGAAATTTAGATCCAAGTACTGCACTTGTTCCTGTATTTCAATGTAAAGGAAAGGAGGAGATTGAATAACAATTATGGGATGGAGTATCACTTTTGACAAGATGTGAAGATGTTTATATGTGGTGTAAGAAAATGTTGAGAGAATGGAACATTAAATTATTGGATAAATTTAATACAGAGACTCTAAAAAGGAGTTTAGAAGGATCTCAAGCATTTAATTCATATAAATAAACTCTTGATTACATTAAACCTCTTACAGAGTAATTACATAAAGCAAAAATGGTTCAGTCAATTAATGAAGAAATTTTGAATGCATTGTATCTTATAATTCGATTTTGTGTTTATAAAGAGTATGTGAGAGCATATGATAAATATTTGGAATTAGCAATTGGAAATGCTCCATGGCGTAATAATATATTATAATATATTAGCTATGGGTGTAACTATGGTTGGTATACATGAAAGGACTGGAAGATCAAAGATTTCAAGTTCACAAATAGCTCACATCTTAAATGATGAAACTTAGAGAAAATATATATAAGCAATAAAGAGATTGATTACAGTTTCATAAGTATCATATCCAAGTAGTGACCGTAGCAAAATGGTCGATTTCAGAACAGAATATACTTGGTGATATGAATACATTAATCAACAATATAAATGTATTGTAAATATTAAATAAAATAAGATAATTTATTACCATGATTTAATAACAATAAGAAATTGTAATTGAACCACCTCTCTATTTTGCTAAAGATCATTTATTTGACTTAAATTTTCACCCTTTTTAAGATGTTGTATGTTGTGCATAGGTTTCAGGAGTTGTGAATATGTAATCATTTTTATCCACAATTTAAGATTGAAATATTCATCTGATGATGTAGTAGAAATAGCAGCCTTTACACATCATTAATAATCTGCAAGAATTAGTTAATTCTTTAGAGATGGTTAACACTTAATAACAGCAAGCAAAGATTGTTCATTTGCTATCTTAGATAATAATGGTAAAATGGTATTACATCAACTCAAAGCTCATAAGTATAATAATAATCTATTTAAATAGACATGCTATAAATGCCCTTAAATAATTGAATGATAGTATTATAGCTACAGGTGATGATACAGGAAATATTAAAATATGGGATTTAAGATAAAATAAATGTGTATTTAAAGTAAAGGAAGCTGAAGAAGCTATTTCTGGAATTGAAATAGATTCATCAAATAATTTATTGCTTTCATCAAGTTTAGATGGTTATTTAAGTGTTCATGATTTAAGATTCTAAAGTACAAATGAAAAATGTTTATATGCAAAAAGTGATTGTATGGAAGAGGAATTAACAGATATTTGTTTGGTCAAAAATGGTTAATTTGTTTGTATATCAACAAGTGAAGGTAATTTATTATTATTTAAATGGGATTATTTTGGAGATTTTAAAGATAGAATAATTGGTCATCCTAATTCTATTGATTCAATTGTAAATTATAATATTATATCAATTAGTGTAAAATAGATGAACATTCAATAATTACAGGTGGTGAAGATGGTTTAGTAAGAGGAGTTTCTGTTTTCCCAAATATGATAACAGGAATATTAGGTTAACATGAAGATAATTCTTATTTCCCTATTACTAAAATAGTTGTTGATAGAACATAAAAAATTGCAGCTTCATTGTCACATGATAGTTCAATTAAATTTTATGATATTGCAGATTTTGTCAATAANTGGTATACATGAAAGGACTGGAAGATCAAAGATTTCAAGTTCACAAATAGCTCACATCTTAAATGATGAAACTTAGAGAAAATATATATAAGCAATAAAGAGATTGATTACAGTTTCATAAGTATCATATCCAAGTAGTGACCGTAGCAAAATGGTCGATTTCAGAACAGAATATACTTGGTGATATGAATACATTAATCAACAATATAAATGTATTGTAAATATTAAATAAAATAAGATAATTTATTACCATGATTTAATAACAATAAGAAATTGTAATTGAACCACCTCTCTATTTTGCTAAAGATCATTTATTTGACTTAAATTTTCACCCTTTTTAAGATGTTGTATGTTGTGCATAGGTTTCAGGAGTTGTGAATATGTAATCATTTTTATCCACAATTTAAGATTGAAATATTCATCTGATGATGTAGTAGAAATAGCAGCCTTTACACATCATTAATAATCTGCAAGAATTAGTTAATTCTTTAGAGATGGTTAACACTTAATAACAGCAAGCAAAGATTGTTCATTTGCTATCTTAGATAATAATGGTAAAATGGTATTACATCAACTCAAAGCTCATAAGTATAATAATAATCTATTTAAATAGACATGCTATAAATGCCCTTAAATAATTGAATGATAGTATTATAGCTACAGGTGATGATACAGGAAATATTAAAATATGGGATTTAAGATAAAATAAATGTGTATTTAAAGTAAAGGAAGCTGAAGAAGCTATTTCTGGAATTGAAATAGATTCATCAAATAATTTATTGCTTTCATCAAGTTTAGATGGTTATTTAAGTGTTCATGATTTAAGATTCTAAAGTACAAATGAAAAATGTTTATATGCAAAAAGTGATTGTATGGAAGAGGAATTAACAGATATTTGTTTGGTCAAAAATGGTTAATTTGTTTGTATATCAACAAGTGAAGGTAATTTATTATTATTTAAATGGGATTATTTTGGAGATTTTAAAGATAGAATAATTGGTCATCCTAATTCTATTGATTCAATTGTAAATTATAATATTATATCAATTAGTGTAAAATAGATGAACATTCAATAATTACAGGTGGTGAAGATGGTTTAGTAAGAGGAGTTTCTGTTTTCCCAAATATGATAACAGGAATATTAGGTTAACATGAAGATAATTCTTATTTCCCTATTACTAAAATAGTTGTTGATAGAACATAAAAAATTGCAGCTTCATTGTCACATGATAGTTCAATTAAATTTTATGATATTGCAGATTTTGTCAATAA